GTACTGTTTGCAAGTTACGTTTCTCTGCTGCTGATCCGCATTTAATATGCCCTAGTTGTACTGTACCATGTTCATTCAGTTCACGTTGCAGTTATTGTAATAATCTATCTAATTCTGCCTTTAATAAATATTTACTTTGCGTCTTGAGACGCGCAGCAGATAGGTCACGCAAGTTAAATCCAGGCATGGATAATGCGGCTGAGTCTTTGTCAAGTCAACTGCTGTTGGACGACCCCCTACCGTCTGGCGTTCCGCTAGAGTTTCCTTCTTCGGAGAGGCGTGGGACGCAGTCCGCCGTCTCCAAGAAGCGTCTTGCATCACCAGACATCCCGTCGTCGCAGCCTAAGACTAAGAGGGCATCGACTTCTCAGCGCAGACTCCGCACCCCCAGGGCAGCGTCTACCAAGAAACCAACGCAGACTACTAGAACTTTCTCGGCCGAGATTGTTCCTGTAACAGAGCTGGGCCTGTATGATGAGCAGCCGCTCATCATACCCGATGTTCGTCGAAAGAAACGTCTGGTTTCAGCTACAGTGACGTCTGCGCAGATCCTCAATCAGCCCGATGTATCAACGCTGATGACTGACGATCTTCCCTTGAGCCCCGTCGCTACCAACGCAGATAGGGCAGCACCTGCAGCTTCGCAGACCGTCCCAGACGACCTGGTGCAACAACTTATGAAGTTGATGGAGGACCGCTACGGACTGGAGAAGAGACAACCAGCCCTGGGTCCGAGCCTTCGCGAAGGCTCCAACGTAGACATCAACCTTGAGGGACCTCCCATCAACGTAGCGGCCGCTACCAAGTCACCACTGAGGGACCAGCCTTCGCGAAGGACGTCACAGCCCACCTCTGCGAAGGACCCTGACGATCAGCGTTCGCGAAGGCCTTTGCGAACGACCTCTAGATCGCCACCTACCTCGGACTCCGATGACCAACGTTTGCGGAAGCCTTCGCGAAGGAGGATCCTATCATCCCCGGACTCAGATAAAGCTTAGCGAAGGCCTTCGCGAAGGACACGTCACCCCCCTAGTTGCGGACTCGGATGAAGCTTCGCGAAGGCCTCCACGAAGGTCACCTTATAGATGCTACTCGTCGGGCCGGTCTCCACGCAGATCTCCTCTCCGTTCTTCACGTCGATCTCCTCGCTGGTCTCCTCGTCGATCTCCTCGTAGGTCTCCGAGCAGATCACCACGTAGGACTCCACACAGATCACCACGACGTTCGAAGTCTCCACACAGGTCGCCACGAAGGTCTCCAGACGGGACTCCACCTCAGTCACCATCTGAAGAATATCATCGACCTCTTATCAGCGATCCTATCACTGAAGACAATGGAGGCATCATATTCTCCGACGCGGGAAATACGATACTGGATGGTCAACAACCTAGACTTGGCTTCGCCCACTAAGGATGATAATACGGCTAACACCTACATTATGAAGGAGGACGACGTAGATACGATCACCCTACCACCTATTGATCCTATAGCTTCGGTTCCACAGAACCTGGACACAGCATTCCAGACAGCCACTAAAGCTCAGGCGCCGCACTTACCACAGTTCAACGCCAAGAAGTTCTCCACGCATAACATGGGACCTTTCCTGAAAGCACAAGATATCGACGATAACTTTAAAGTCATCAACGATGCCAAGGCCAAGGCGTACAGAATAGAGGATCGCAAGCTGGCTCAAGGCGAGACTATGACCAGAAGGATGTTTTTCGGCCTCAACAGATCCCGTACTATTAACGAAACTCTCATCACTAGATTTCGAGACTCCACATCAGAAGACGACAGAATGGTATACTCGGCCCTCCTTATGCAAAAGAAGGACCAACAGTTCATGACGGATCACCTTTCATCCATCTCCGCAGCTCTTACTCTGGCTCGTCGTCAAGGTCTCCTCGCCAACTGCAGTTGGGGTGAACAGTTCACTACACCGCTCTACTCAGCCCCGTGGTCAACACCATCCATCTTCGCTGGAGGAATTGATAAAGTCTATAAGGAAGTCACCAATTGATTCTAGAAAAGTCCTCATGATAAAATCTATTGACACCTTGGCCAGCGTCATCAGGCAGACATCACAGAGATATTCCGGAAGATCTAAATTTCCGGGTCTACAGAGAGCACGGGACAGGAAGATGGTCGGCACCAGAGGTTGAAAGGACGCTTTTCCTCGCCCATCTGGCAACTACAGAGGAGGATCTGGAAGAGGCAGGACACCCAGAGGCTCCCGCAACTATCGTCGATGAAAGTCGGGTTCGGAACGACTGGAGTCTTCCACCCCCAGCCGTTCTTGTACAACCTTCACAAGTGGGTGGACGCCTTCAACTGCACTGGGAGAACTGGGGAATACTACAAGATCCATATGTATCCAACATCCTACAACACGGATATCGCATCCAACTACAGGCCACGCCTCCGCTTACAGTCAACCCTCACAAGTTCGACTTCCAGGCACAACAACTACCAAAGTTACAAGAAGCTGTATCATCTCTCCTAACCAAGCAGGCCATAGAAATCGTGGATCAAGTAAACATCGAGCCAGGTTTCTACTCCCCAGTTTTCCTAGTGCCCAAGAAGAATTTCAAGGAAAAGTTCCGACTCATCTACAACATGAGCACGTTCAACAGGGACTATCGACGCAAACCGCCAACGTTTTGCATGATACATCTACCTCAACTACTGCACCTCGTCCGTCAGATGGACTACATGGCCAGTATAGATGCCTACCTGCATATCCCGATACATCCAGATACATCCAGACCTACGGTTTACACTAGACGGGCTACACTACCAATGGAAGGTCCTACCGTTTGGAATATCATCCGTCCCCTGGTTGTTTACAAGAATAACGAAACCCATCGTCACTTACCTACATCGTCAAAGGCTACACTGTGCGTTCTAACTTGACGACAGGATTCAAGTAGATCAAGATCCAGAGCGTTTCAAACTACAGTTGAATTTCAGCATCAACCTAGTAACGCAGCTAGGATGGTTAGTGAATCTACTCAAGTTGGACCTAGAACCTACGCAAGACCTGCAATTTCTAGGCATCAGATTCCGCTCGTCACAGAATCGTATCGTCGTACCAGAGGACCGCTGGCTCAAGATTCAACAGACGATCCCTCAAGCATAACTCTCTCCGTTGACACTACGACAGTGGCAGAGTTTGTTGGGTCTCCTAACGTCAGCACAAGATATGACAACCAGAGGCAGACTACAGTTACGCCCGTTACAGGTCCTCATCAACGCTCATCTCGACGACCTACAACCCTTCGGTCTACCGAATCACCTCAGACCTCATCTACTTTGGTGGACCCAGAGGTCGAATGTTTGCGAAGGCACCTATTTAACAGAGACGGAGTTCAAGACCCATCTCTATGTCGACGCCATCGCTCCAAGGTTGGGGAGCTCGTCTCGAAAACCAAACGACAGCAGGGTTATGGAGCCAAGAAGAGAGCAAGCTGCATATCAACATGCTCGAAATGAAAGCAGTAATCAACGCCTTACGTCATTGGAGCACCATTCTACAGAGTGCGCATCTAATGATACACACCGACAACTCAACAGTGCCGTTCTACATAAACAAGCAAGGCTCAACAAGATCATTGAACCTACTAACCCTAAGCTTTCAACTGTTCGACATGATCGAAGATCTCAACATACATGTGAGAGCATGCCACATTCCCGGAGCCAAGAATGTACTAGCAGACGCACTCTCTCGGCCAAATCTACCATCACCAACAGAATGGAAACTCCACCCAGAAATCTTCACTCAGATTATCATGGAAATAGGAGCTCCATTAATAGACCTATTCGCCACTCGCTTCAACAATCAGCTAACAACATTCGTCTCACCAGTCCCAGACCCACAAGCGTGGGCAACGGATGCTCTAAGCATATCCTGGGAAGGCCTCAACGCGTATGCGTTTCCGCCGCCAGCGTTAATACCACGAGTATTACAGAAAATCAGACAAACTCAGAGCCTCCAACTGATTTTGGTTGCACCTTACTGGCCAGCGAGAACATGGTTTCCAATTCTAATACAAGAAATCAGACAACCAATGCTACAACTACCAAGGAGTTCGAAACTACTCGTACATCCTCACACAAAACAAGCGCACGTCAACCCAGGAGCATTCCAACTTCACGTATGGACTGTATTAAAGTGTGCTTAAACAAGAGAGGTTACTCAGCCAGAGCGGCGAAAACAGTCACGCTTGCTTTACGCAATTCCACTCGCAACTTATATGATGACAAGTGGCACAGTTTTGAGACATACGCTGCTAAAAAGGGATTTACAGCTAGAAATGCTACACATCCTCAAGTGGCGGACTATCTTTGTCACCTACTATAAAAACCAAACGTCTAAAAGGCTCTACACTGTCAACGTACCTCGCAGCACTAAGTTCAGTGATAACTATGAGGACGGGTGCCAAGTTAACTAAGACACCAGAGTTACTCGCCTTGCTACGCTCTCTCCGATTGGAGGATCAGAAACAGAGATTTCGCGCTCCAGCATGGGATCTGAATGTCGTGCTTCAACACCTCACAAGTGAGGCTTATGAACCATTGGAATCGACATCGTATGAATTCCTGACACAGAAAACAGACAATTCCACGTCCCTGCACTCTCCTCCGTACTTGGACCTCATGATACGTTGGATTTATCACTATGCCCAGTCAGAGCTTTCAAAGTTTACTTACAAAGATCCAAAACGAGGCGACGAAAGTTCAAGCGCTTATTCATCCCTCTATCTACAGCGACACAGACCGAAGTCTCTCGCACTACGATATCCATATGGATCAGAACTGTCATACTTCGCGCCTACAAGGCTGCAGGACTCGACCCTCCAAGAGCATCTAATCCTCACGAAATCAGAGCACTAGCATCAACACTCGCTCTACATGGGAATTGCTCGCTGAATACCATCATGGAGGGCTGTTTCTGGAGATCGGACATGGTGTTTGCTAACCACTACCTGAGAGATATCGACACCGAGGACGTCTCAGGCATTCACCATTTCGGTCCCTTGGTCCTCGCACAGCAGTTGACAGTTCCTCGTAGACGGTGAGACATAGTCTCACTATATTACTTATGTAATTATCAGCTTACAACTCTACGGAGTTTTTTGCTTAGTTTATATATATAACTTAAGGCTATGTTAGTCTTAAGCCCAGTACTCGTTTTACTTGTACAAGTTGGGTTGCTTCTCCACTTTGGAGTCGCCATATTTCTATATTATTATAATATCATAAATACCCCCATCTATGGCATCTGATAGAACTTATGTATGATAGCAGCAGAAATTAATTTATTTACAGTGCCATTATGAAGTTCCCATAAGGGGTTATTATACGTAAAGTCACTAATTGAAATCCAAAGTATCTTTTCCCACCTCCGGTTCCGTCGGATTCTACAAGCAAAAGAGCATGAGTCAGGATAAGGAAAAATATGTCATTTTCTGAATAAAATTGATATTTTATACTTATCCTGACTCATGAGGTAAGCCCTCCCATCCTCCCCACATGACACTTTGGATTTCCCTGCAAATTCAAGTGTCGGGCTCGTTATAAGGAGAGAGTGAAGCATGTGGCATACAGTGGCGCCGTCTTTCCCGCCAGTGGGAGGCAAAGAGGGGCAACTCTTGGTGAGTAGTGATTAGTGATTTTACGCATGTTTCAATTGAAGGGAGCTTCAATAGGGAGATACAAGTGTTCCACTATGTTCGCAAGAAGAAGACAAGCAAAAGAGCATGAGTCAGGATAAGTATAAAATATCAATTTTATTCAGAAAATTACATTTTTATTCAGAAAATTACATTGCTATTTTCTCCTTCATGAGGAATCCCCCTGTGTTGATGGTGGTATGAAGGTGCAACATATATTGCTTTTTACAGAGAGAAATCCACTTCTACATGACAGTTCTATTAATGCTGGACCATGATTTGGGAGCAGTATTGCCCTGAGTCCGCTTCTGCTTTATGTTTTGTAGAGAGATGATAATTGGTCCTGTTTTTCAAGAGCTTTCCATTGATAATCTGTGTGGTTACAAGACAGTGTATGGTCCATCTGGAACGTGGCTGTCAGTACTGGCAGCATGTTCCATTGTTGTTGTAGCACATGGTTGTGCTGATTCAGCAGGTACAGACAATGGAAGTAATTGGCGACTAAGCCCTTTAACTCATCAGAATCAATTATGCCACAGAAGACTACAGATGAGCCTGGAGTACATATACATAATTTGTTTATCATTGACGCCCATTTCACAGTGTTCATGTCTGTGCATACGAATCAATAATTAAGCTGCACATAGGACAGAAATGTCAGTGGAACATCAAGCTCTGTTCGTTAGGCCTCGTGTTGAATGTATTGCCCATGATGTTAACAAGATTAGAGAGACTATCAGGCGAGTGCTGCCAAATTGGTCGACTTGTCCCGATGCTTGCATCCCCTAACAAATAGCTAATCCATTACATGCTGTATTACGGTGCTGAGTTGAATTACATGACATTTACCAGTGGGCTGTCTCGGTGATCGCACCCATGATGGGTTCTAGTGCCTCACGGTAATCGACACACTAAATCTCTGTGTATGAAACCCAGTCATTTTCTGTCCGTTATTGAAGCATGGGTGTAATCAGGCGAATCCGACTGATAGAGATGTATGTTTTTTTAGGTTTTTGGCTGTTTTAGTTATGGAAGAGAGTGACTCGTCAAATGGGATTGAGAAAGGGTATTGATTCAGAACCTGGAGAGCCTAAGGCTTTATAATGGTGTCATAGATGAATAACACATTTCCCTTCATTGATATTGTAAAGTACAATATTGAAACTCCGTGATGTTTGGACCGCTGAGTCAGTCTGTGTTCACGTTCCATGTGTACTACCAAGTCAGGTGTATCCTTAAAGAGATCCGCGCTCCGGTCCCACAGGACAACGCATGGAACGCAGTAAACAACAAGTACGATAGACGGGCCTATGAACGTATTTGTAATGAATTCGAACTGAACCCGAAGACGGATTGGCGTTTGCCGGGACCGAACCACGGGTTGGGTAACCCCATCGTTCACAACATGCACCTCGTGGATGCCAGCGAGAAGTTGAAAGAATGGGGATACAAGTCGTATCATCACCTAACAACCAACGAGTGGGATGATCGTTACATGGCTTTCGACAACAGCAAGGATCACCGAGTCTGGAGGTTCGAGCAGGGGCCAGCGGATGACTGGGAAAAGTTCATGTTGGACACGTCGAAAGGGTTCACTCGTGCCGGGGTAATCAGGTTAAAAGCGACTTCGATTCGAACGCGACGCGGTGGGCTGTTGGGTGCGCAGATGCAAACGCGTTCCAACATCCTCGGTAAGGGGACTGCTTACGACGCTCAGAAACAGTTCGTTGTCAACGTTGAGGGCCTCCCCGAGTTTTTTTATCCAGGATTTGACGCCCCCACCACTTGGTGTGCCACTGCTGCCGGCAGGCATGGGGGTACCCCCTGTCAATGACACCACCAGGGTTGATATGATGAAGCCCAATGCAGTCAGAATGCTGGCGATGGTGATCCCTTGCTCCCGGAACAGTATCTGAATCCTGTCAGCTAGCGTGGTGTCCTGGTAGAGGACTCGATCAACGGTTTCCCGCGCACGGCTGACCTGGGATCGAAGCTGGTCTCGGAAGGAGGATGCCGTTTCCAGCCGGGTCTTCCTTTCCTCTTCCAAATTACGTATTCGTTCCTCGATGGTGGCTTTCAGAGACTCGTCCTCAGTTTCACCGAGTTTGGTCTTTTCATGGGCGATGTGGTCGTCTATCGCGTCCAGTTTGGCCGTGTTGTTCACGAGATGTCCGCGAATGGTTTGCATGGCCTTGTCCAGCCCCCGTGAGTTCCCGAACGGTAAATTCGAACCGGGTAAGGGTTTGTTATGGTAGGTGGCCAACAGCTTTTCAATGTTATCAGTCATGTCTTGATCCGATGTGGCGCCCCTGACGTCTTGCAGATCTTGAACTGCCTCCTGGGGAAGGGCTTTAGGTCGTGCGCCCCCGTAATCTAAGAAGCCTAGTTCATCGCGGATAAAGTCACTCCCATGGCGACTGCCGAGTGTTGATAAGGCAAGCGGTTCTCTAGTGCGCTTATTCATGAGATCGATCTCCGGGCGACCCCTCAGTCGCAGCGTGCCATTGTCATCAACAAAAAACTTGGAATAGTCTCGCCCCCACGGCTCTACGTAATTTTTATCCCCTTTTAACGTGTGGGCGCTGTTGGGTGCGCAGATGCAAACGCGTTCCAACATCCTCGGTAAGGGGACTGCTTACGACGCTCAGAAACAGTTCGTTGTCAACGTTGAGGATGCTATCAATGCTCCAGTTGATCTACCGAGTGCCATCAAACGCTACCAAAACGTGTTGGAATATGCCAGGTCGAAAGTCGACTACGTGTTCGACGTGGGACTGTACATGGCCCCGAGCGATATGCAACTGAGAGTAAAAAAAGTGGTGGGCTACAACAACGAAATAGTCATAGCCACGGCGGACCAAAAGTTGGGTGTCAACCTCGATGTCAACGTCCCCCACGTCCCACCACCCACGACCAGTGAAACGGGTATAGTGGCGCCACCCCTGGAGCCTAGGGTTCAACCAACACCCCCTGTGGGGTCACCCCCACAGCAGCAGCACATCGATCGTAAAACAGCCCTGGTGGTTGGTGGGGTAGCTTTAGGACTTATTTGGTTAAAAAATCCTTAGCCGCTACGTACACCAGACCCGCCACGGCGACGATGGCTGCCCACAGGTTTTGACTAAGCCACGTGGCAGTTTTAGCCAAAGCATCCAGCAACCACGAGACGATGCTACCCAGGATGCCGGGTAGGGCTTCGGCAGCCTTACCAGCCAGTTTAGCCAGGGCCTCCCCGAGATTTTTTATCCAGGATTTGACGCCCCCACCACTTGGTGTGCCACTGCTGCCGGCAGGCATGGGGGTACCCCCTGTCAATGACACCACCAGGGTTGATATGATGAAGCCTAATGCAGTCAGAATGCTGGCGATGGTGATCCCTTGCTCCCGGAACAGTATCTGAATCCTGTCAGCTAGCGTGGTGTCCTGGTAGAGGACTCGATCAACGGTTTCCCGCGCACGGCTGACCTGGGATCGAAGCTGGTCTCGGAAGGAGGATGCCGTTTCCAGCCGGGTCTTCCTTTCTTCTTCCAAATTACGTATTCGTTCCTCGATGGTGGCTTTCAGAGACTCGTCCTCAGTTTCACCGAGTTTGCTCTTTTCATGGGCGATGTGGTCGTCTATCGCATCCAGTTTGGCCGTGTTGTTCACGAGATGTCCGCGAATGGTTTGCATGGCCTTGTCCAGCCCCCGTAGTTCCCGAACAGTAAATTCGAACCCGGGTAAGGGTTTGTTATGGTAGGTGGCCAACAGCTTTTCAATGTTATCAGTCATGTCTTGATCCGATGTGGCGCCCCTGACGTCTTGCAGATCTTGAACTGCCTCCTGGGGAAGGGCTTTAGGTCGTGCGCCCCCGTAATCTAAGAAGCCTAGTTCATCGCGGATAAAGTCACTCCCATGGTGACTGCCGAGTGTTGATAAGGCAAGCGGTTCTCTAGTGCGCCTATTCATGAGATCGATCTCCGGGCGACCCCTCAGTCGCAGACTTGGAATAGTCTCGCCCCCACGGCTCTACATAATTTTTATCCCCTTTTAACCCATCGTAAAACCCGTTGACGGCCTGCTTCAAGAGTTCGTTGCCTTGTGTGAATGTGGTGTCATCCTCGAATGCCTGGGCACTATCATCCCACATATCCTCCATAGGTATGTACTCAGCCATTATTTAGTATTAAAACTTATATATTTCATTTATATAACAATGTACGGTAGAAAACTAGATCCTTTCAGAAGATCAAGAGAGCCACTAGGTGTCAGAGCCGTGGGCCAGTCGGTGACCATCACCAACAATCCCAGCAAGATAGACCAGAATCAAACGCTGCTGGTTAGATTCCCAAACCTTGGCGAGAATGACCTCATTGTACCAGGCACGGTTCGACTGGCGTTCAACCTCACGCTGACCTCCGACAACGACAAACGCGAGCTAGTGCGGAACGTAGGTCGAGCCATCATCAAGAAAACCACTATCAAGATCAGCGGTAATGAGGTGTTGAGCATCGATGACAGCAACGTGTTTCACTGTTACGGGGACCTCTGGAAAAGCGAGGGAGAACGCGTCAATGACGTGTACCAAGGTATCAGCAAATCCACCCGGTTACGCATGGGGTACGGCTTCACGCAAGACCAGCTAGACAAGATCACGGACGGTGAAAAGGCCATCGCTCAAGTGTACGGGAACAGGTTCTGCTTGCCGCTCGACTTCGAGTTGCTCACGGGACACGCGCCGTTTTACCAGGCCGCGCTGGGGGATAGGCTTGAATACGAGCTAACGTTTAACGACTACAGCAAAGTAGTGCGTACGCCGAACGGTGATGAGGCCAGTTATACCATCGACAACATCTCTCTGGAGTTCGACATGGTCACTAGCCCGGAGCTGGCCAGGCAGGTTCGAAGTCAGTACTCGGGGAAGATGGCCATCCTATACGATCGCATACTGAGGCATAGATCAGTCGTGCGAGATAAGAGCGACACTGTGTGGAATATCAACCTGAACGTGCCGGCGCGATCGATGAAAGGTATCCTGGTCGTCCCAGTGGAGGATTACGAGCCGTTCCGGAGGGACAGCGAGAAGTTTTTCAACCCCGAGATTGAAAAGGTGGAAGTGACCATCAAGGGCGTGCCCAACCAGCTGTTCAGTCATGGTATGAGGCCATACCAGCAGTGGGATGAGATAAAAAAGCTACCAGCCATCAAACAACACCCATACATACAGACCTATCCTCCGTGCAGATCGGTGAATACCTGACCACCAAGTACGCGCTGTGGTTGGACATGCGATCCACGGATGACGATAAACTGCACGGTAGCGGGCGCCGCATAGACAACGGCAGCGAGGGGATAACTATCCAGATTACCAAGAAGGCTCAACCCGCTGACAAGTTGAAATTATATCTGTACGTTATTATGGACGCGCAACTTAATATAGACAATGGGAGATTCGTGCAAGCCATCTACTGATGGCGGCAAGCCATCTAATGGGTGCAGGCCACTGCCTGCTGATTTGCCCCGCGACCCACACTGCGCAATAGTGTGTGGGCAGACTGGCTGTGGGAAGACCGTTTTCGTGCTGGATATGTTGGAGGGATACTACAGGGATGTATTCGATAACATCGTTATCATGTGCCCTACTCTGAGCATGAATAAAACGTACACGGAAAGACCTTGGGTGATGACGGACCCGGACGTACACAAAGTCGACCCGGGAACACGCCTGCAGGACTGGTTGAAGGCTCTTCACGAGAAATTTAAAGGGGAGTCGACGTTGTTCTTACTAGACGACTGCAGCGCTAATCGCGAGATAACAAAAAAGAGAGACGTGTTATCGTACCTGGCCTTCTCTGGCCGGCATGCAAATCACAGCGTCTGGGTACTAACGCAGAAGTTCAACTCAGTGTTGAAAGACCTCAGGGAGCAGACGCGATGGGTGGCCTTATTCCACTGCAAGGACAGGGATTCGTTCGAGGAGTGTTTGAGAGAGAACGATGTGATGAGTAAATTAGAACGGGAACGGGTGAAGAAACAGCTCGCTGAAACTGAACACGCTAAGCTCGTGCTCAAGACCGACCAACCCGTGGCCTATAGGGTGTTTTAGCTTAGCAAAGCTTAGCAATGCTTAGCAATGCTTAGCAAATGCTTAGCAAAGCTTAACAATGCTTAGTAAATACTTAGCATTTAGTTATAGCTATGGTATTTGAAGTGTTTGTCGTGTGCAACTTAACCTTCATTTCCCTGTGTTTTGCCTGCATCGGGTATTATATAGTTAAAACTAAAACTTACTTGTTACATTATAAGATGGAGTGTGAGGAATTGCTAGAGCAACTGTTGGTGCCAGTGGACGATGACAAGCGTGAGAAACTGGTGGCGTTGGCTGTTGGTGGTAAAGCCAAACATTACTTTGGGGACTACACTCCTGATAAAATTCACAAAATGTCAGCCGAAGAAATCGATAAGCTGTACGCTAGATACGAGGTTAGACTCGGGGCAGAAATGACAAAGACACTAGGATCGGCTATGACCCAGATATACACTGGTATTGCGTCATACTTCCTTCCCATCCCCCCGGAGCGCCGACTTTACCTGTGGGAGGACCTCGAGAAAGACCCTTTTATTGAACACGCCTTGAGCTCTATCAGCTGCGAGCTGTACCACAAATACGGTATGTTGTTAGCCCCGGTGATGGCGGCGATTATCACAGCAAAGCATTGCCAATTTGAGAGGAAAAATAATAATAATAGTATAGATGGATGCTGCACAGGAGGAGACACCAAAGTTGGGGGAACCCCAACTGGAGGAGACCCAGACCCCTTCAGAGGAGACGGGGGAGACCCCCAAGGAGGTGAACCCTCCCGAGGTAAACCCCCCTACAGTCACCAGGCAGAAGAACCCTAAGAGAGTAGCTGCCGGTAAAAAAAGGTGGTGTAACCAACATAAAATTATCACGGTGACTCGACTCTTGTTGGTTGTAGGCGTAACTGCTGCCGTGGCTATCTCATGGTTATATACACGACACAGTGAGGGAAACCCTCACAGGGATTCCGGGGAGCCCCCACAATTAGAGGTCAACCCACATATCATGTTATAATTTAATATTTTATATCATATACATAATGTCTGAGGGGAAAACGTTCGTCAACGACGCATACCACGCCACAGTGGTCGCCAGTCTAGCCGTAGGGTACTCTCGGTTGACTAAAATGGTGCTTAAACAACCGACTATCAAGCTAGATTTTAACCTGCAGGATATGGGTATGCTGATAATGAACCTTGGTATGGCGATGGCTACAAAAGACATCCTAGTAAAATAAGGGATACTACCTGAAAATATTATGAAGTAAATATAGGATGGCTACGATTGCCATGATGGTTGGTGGTGCATTAGTAAATGCCCTAGCTTTTTCTGGGAGTAATTTCCTCTTCTCAAAACTACGAGAGTCACCCGCGGCTGAAATACAGGAAGAAAGGAAGCGACATAACCTCGCTATTGAGAAATTACAGGCCGCACAATCCGAGTACGCTAAAAAACGCCTCCAGAGGATCGATTACATTAACGAACAACTCAGGCGTGAAAACCATGCCGTTCAAACATTCCACGATGTCGACGACGCAGCGAGAGAATACTACTTACTAACTGGTAAACGGTTGCAACCACTCAATAAACCCACACTCGCTCAGTACTACACACCATCCAAGGGGCAAATGGACCATGAACTGGTCTTCATAGCGCTGGGTATAGCAGCGACTGCGTTGGTTGCGAAACAATTAGACTAAATACTCATATAAGTATGCTAAACATGAGACCTGCTCCATACCGATGCGAATACATACTTATGGGGAAGAAAGAAGCCTGTGATAGGAGATGCAGGACTGAGGGGTACTGTTGTTTCCACATGGGAAGTCCTAACTACACGTGTTCTGTGTGTGGTATAGGGGTTAAAGGGCACTACTGCCTATGTAAAGCGAACGTAGTCAGACATCATCTCATCTTCGAGAATAAAAAGGCCTACATAAAAGAACTTAGGCAACTTCTCAGGATAGCAGTGTAAGGCTGGAGGAGTTACCTCCCTTTGGCAGTGGCCCAGTTAGAGATTATGCACACCTACGTATAGCTATGTTTGTGGAAATTGAGTCCAGGGAAGGTTGCCTGAGAAGCTGGCAGATGGATGTGGGGAAAAGTATAGATATCAGTGTCCTCAAACCCATGATTGTTAGTGAACTATATAAGGGGTGCTCGTTTACAATCATGGTAAAAGTAGGGTTTGATGTGCCATGGGCTGGGCACACTTGGAATTACTTTGATGGGGGGCGAGTAGATGTGCATGGGGATATAGATATACTTGTTGACGACTCGTTGCAAGTAATACAAAACACCCTACTATGCTGCGCATATTCCGGGTGGGTCGAGGGAATAATCGATAAGGTGTATCTAGATATTTACTAATTTTTTACCTTTACGGCGGCCCAATTAGAGATTGATCTTCTTAGGTGTGTACGCAACTATGACTACTGTTGGTGAACTTAGGCGGATCGCCAGGCAGAGAGGTGTTATCGGTTATTCTCGAATGAGGAAGCCAGCCTTGTTGAAATTATTAGGTTTAGAAGCCCCTCCCACGGTAAAACAATTAAAAGCTCAAGCAAAACAGCTTGGGCTCACGGGTTATTCAAACCTGGGGAGAGCCGGGTTAATCGCATTGTTATCACATGCCCCCGTAGCAAAACCTCCCACTGTAAAACAATTAAAAGCCGAGGTACGTAATTTGGGTTTAGGTGGGTATTCCCGTATGAGGAAACCACAGCTTGTAGAACTATTACGGCAGAATAGAGCTATTGACCTTCGTGCGCACTGAGCGCACTGTAGGCAACTATTTGAGAGGCTGGCGCATGCATGTTGATAGGAATATAGACATCACAGATATCAAGCCTCTGATAGCTGATAAAATAAACCAGGAACTAAACAGTCTGGGAAGTATCAAATTTCAGATCACAATGAAAATGTCGCTCGATAAGCAAGTGGGGGGAGGGGTCACTGAGTACGTTCAGCCTTACTTCAGATGTAGGCAAGAGGTCGTGACCCATATAGAGACCATAGACGCATCAATCGATACCAGTTTTCAGCAGATACGAGAATATCTAGAACGCTACACACACTTGGGGTCCGGGTGGGCTGTAGATAAAATCATTAATGTCTATCTAGACATAGCTAACTACGTGCCGTTCAGAGGCGGGTCATACCTAGACTTGCCCCCCTACTATAGGAAAAAACATGCCATGGTCAACGTCAAGAATAGAGGAGACGATTGCCTGAGGGTAGCTATCAGGTCAGCCTTGTTTCCAGCTGACACTCATTCAGACAGGCTTTCTAGCTATCCCCAAGACGATGGGCTCAACTGGGATGGTATAGATGAACCCACCCCCCATATCCCAGATAACTAAAATAGAAAAACAGAATAATCTAGCTATAAATGTCTTTGGGCATGAAGGTAACACAACAATAGTGCACAGAGTAAGCCCAGTGTTGGGGAAATGCGTTATCAATATATTCATGATCCAGCGAGGTGACAAGTACCACTACGCGTGGATAAAACACTTTAGCAGGCTGTTGTATGACCAATCGGCACACAGAGAAAAGACCCACTTCTGCGAACGGTGCCTACATGGCTTCACACGAGCTGATTTATTAGAATCCCACCGGGAGGATTGCCAAGGTGTGGGGCAGACGGCTATACGAGTCGACATGCCTAAGGAAGGTGATAATATCCTAAAATTCGGTAACCACAAGAACCAAATGTCTGTTCCTTATATCATATAACGCCGACTTTGAAGCCTTGGTCAAACCTGTTGAGGCTGCCGCCGGCGGGGTTGTTGGGGATACTCCCAGTGCTCTACCCACAGGTGAGAGCTTCACACAGAAAACACAGGAGCATGAGGCCTGTGGGTTTGGATACGTGGTCATCCGATGTGATGGGGAAACGAAAGCTCCTGTAGTGTATAGGGGTCCTGACGCGGCTGAAAGGTTTCTAAAGTGTTTGCAGGAGGAAGAAAAAATTATTAGGAATGCACTGTATACAGTCGCCCCCATGCGTATGACCAAAGCCGACCGGCTAGCCCACGCCTGTAGCACTAACTGCCACGTGTGTGACTCACCACTTAACGGTGATTCGGTAAGAGATCACTGTCACGTAACCGGTAAGTATAGAGGCGCCGCTCACAGCGCGTGTAACCTCAAGCTTAGAATCATCCCTAAGACAATAAACATCCCCGTGGTCTTTCACAACTTGAGAGGGTACGACTCTCACTTAATCATGCAGGCCATCGCGAAAATCGATGGCAACCTGACGTGCATCCCCAACAACATGGAGAGATACATTTCCTTCAGTTTAAACGGCCTGAGGTTCATCGACTCGGTTCAGTTCTTCCTGTCGTCACTCGACAGTCTGGTCAAGGCCAACGATACCTTCCCTATTACCGATCGCAATCTGACCGACTCGGTAATATCCCAAGACGATTACTCACACGCTATTAATGTATGGAATAAACTGGGTTGTAAGAATCTGGGTGACTATCACGACCTGTACTTGAGGACAGATGTACTGCTGTTAGCCGACGTATTTGAGACGTTTAGGCGGACATGTTTCAAGCAGTATAAACTCGACCCCGCATGGTATTACACCAGCCCAGGTCTGTCGTGGGATGCCTTGCTGAAAAAGACCGGAGTTAAGTTAGAATTACTCACAGATAATGACATGCACCTATTCATTGAGAAAGGCTTGCGAAGCGGGATCTCCATGGCAACCAAACGATACGCGAAAGCAAATAATCAATACGTGAAGGGTTATGACCCGAGCAAGCCAACCAATCACATTCTCTACCTCGACGCCAACAACCTGTACGGCTGGGCCATGAGCCAGTATCTACCCACAGGGGGATTCGAATAGGCGTCACCCATTGATGTTATGAGCATCGCACCATATTCGAACAAAGGTTATATCCTCGAGGTTGACTTGGAATACCCCAAGGCATTACACACATCACACAACAGTTACCCCCTAGCCCCCGAACGTATGAGGGTTAACCCAGACTGGATGTCTGAGTACCAACATAACTTGTTAGGTGGGCGGGTGGCAGACGTTGAAAAACTTGTGCCCAACTTAATGAATAAGACCAAGTACATAGTTCACTATCACAACCTACAGCTGTACCTGTCGTTGGGTATGAGGCTGACCAAAATACACAGGGTGCTCATGTTCAACCAGAGCCCATGGATGGAGCCCTACATCAGAATGAACACAGACCTCCGACAGCTTGCCACCAGTGACTTTGAGAAAAATCTCTACAAGCTCATGAACAACTCGGTGTTTGGTAAGACTATGGAGAACCTCAGGAAACGCGTGACCATGAAGCTGGTTCGATCGAATGAGGAAGACAAGCTCAGGAGACTGATAGCCAGTCCGGGATTCAACCGTAGCAAGATATTCACCGATGACCTAGTTGCCCTACACATGAAGAAAAGCCACATAAAATTCAACCGGACTGTTTACGTGGGGATGAGCATCCTCGATTTATCCAAACACCTGATGTACGACTTTTACTACAACAAGCTTAAGAAACAGTACGACGACAGGTGTGAAGTGCTGTACACTGATACGGATTCCCTGCTGATGGAGATTCGAACCGAGGACGTGTACGAGGACATGAAAAAACACCTCGATTTGTACGACACCAGCGACTACCCCAAGGACCATACACAGCACGGTAAATAAAAAGGTCGTAGGTAAGATGAAGGACGAGTGTGCTGGCACGCCCATAGCCGAGTACATAGGTTTGAGGCCTAAGATGTACTCCATACTGAAAGCCGACAATGGTGAGATCCGGAAGGCTAAGGGTGTTAAGAAGTACGTTGTTAAACAACACATCAAACACGCCAGATTCAAGGAAGCCCTGTTCAAGACCCGTACCTTTAGACATAAAATGAACACACTTAGAAGTGATGGCCATAGGATATACGGACTGACTATAAACAAGACGTCCCTGTCGCCGATGGACACTAAACGTTGGATAGCTATTGATGGGATAAACACGTACGCGTACGGGCATGAGAAAATTGAACCAAGAACATAGGTATATAAATACCCTGTCGAGGCGACATGTCACGGAACCAGAATAAGTTTGAGGCTATTTACTACAGCCCGCGTGGGTACTGGAAAGGAGCTAGCGCTGTAGATAAGCTGGCTAAAATGGCGCGAGTACTGCCGGAGGAGGCCAAAGCGTGGCTTGAAAAACAAGCACTTTGGCAGATCTATTTGACGCCACCACGCTACATGCCTAGAAGGAAGTTTGGTATTAACATACCCAATAGCGTTCACCAGGCAGACCTACTGTTCCTACCCCACGACAAGAGGTACAAGTATACCTTAACCATAGTGGACGTAGCCAGTCGCTACAAGGAAGCCGAACCCTTGACTGCGTAAGATTCGGCCCAGGTAGCCAGAGGATTCGAACGCATATACAAACGCAGTCCGCTGACGTGGCCAACAGAGCTGCAAGTTGACCCCGGGCGGGAGTTCATGGGTGTCAGGTCACACCTGTTAGACAAACACGATACAAAGGTCAGGCGTGGCACGGCTGGAGCCCATCGCAGCCAAGCCATAGTTGAGAGATTCAATAGAATTTTGGCTGAGCGCTTATTCGGTCATCAGTATGCGAAAGAGATGACCACCCCGGGGAAGCGATCGACTGAATGGGTCGCTAGGTTACCCAAGGTGGTGTCAACAATCAACCATGAAGCCACCCGTCTCACCGGCAAGAAACCGGCAGACGCTATCAAACTAAAATCAATAGTGGCAGAGTCGGCTGCTCCATTGCGTGGGAAAGAGAAACAGATACCAGATAGGGCCCTAGTAAGGTATCTATACCAGCCGGGGGAACACGAGGGTGATAGCCGTAAGCGAGCCACCGATCCTATATGGTCAGTCAAAACTTACAACATAGATAAAGTGGACATGAAAGCAGACGAGCCTAACTTGTACTACTTGAGGGATGGGCCAGGTAGAGGGTTTGTTAGAGCGGAATTATTGATCGTACCGTACGGCACAGTGTTACCTCCAGTCAACGCGGCATAGCGGCACGTGGAGCGATGATGCAATCCCAGGATAGACCCGTTAAACCGACATACTTCAGCCATGGCCCCGGTAGCTCAGTCGGTTAAGTGGTGCGGCTGTGAGGTATAACATTGGGCGTTTGTATCCCGCTGGCGTCCCAAACTTTTTTATAGTAGGGGGTAATGGTAGCTGGATCAAGGGTCCGACCAAAGCCTTATTTCACAAATAAGGCTTTGCAGAGGCTTTTGTTGGACCTGGTCCAAAACCCCCATTGTATATACTACTGCGGATTTCCACCAATTTTATTTCAAATTGATCAATTCAAACCCCCGTTCGATGACACAATATTAAGTTTTCAGCTGAAAATAGATTTTCTTGTTGCCATCCCTGTGGACAAACTTATCCATCATCGATATGTCTTGATTAATTTCGATTAGTTACACTTGTTTAACTTTTGAAATTTATTCATATTTTTGGAGTGTTAATGTTTAGCAATCATGAAACATTTGAAGCCAGAAATTCTCTACTGCTTGCTCACTACTTTGTCTTCGTTTTTCCAGTACACGCTGCCATCATTGCCATAAATGAAGCCATTGACAAACAAAGTGCGGCAGAGACAATGTTGGCGCTGCAGAACCCGTCCGCCATGCTGGTCACACTCGACATGGCCAACATGGACAGCTATCAGCAGCTACTGTACGAAGCCAAGCAGACCAAGATGGAGATCTCGAGGAACAAGGTAACCTAGAGCTGTACAACATATCTTACATGGAGGGTTATGGTGGCAGTGTGCCAAATAGCCGCTGGCCCGCTAGCCCGTGGCTAGTAAATCTCAACAGTCACTGGCCCGACTGGATATCGAATTTCATGGGGTCACTTTGTAAATATATCACTCTCTCCGACGTGTTAAGTTTTAATCACTTTTAAATCATGCAAGATTATGGCCTGATAAAAATGTTCATTATATTAGCAGCTTAATGGTGACACATTGAAGTTATTTGAGCAAAAGCAAAATGTTTCAGAAATTCAGAGATGTGTTTTCTCATTTGTTTTTGATGGTATTTTACCTTTGTGTAATCATTTGCTTAGTTTCTAAATTCAAATTTCGGGCTAGTGAATTATTTTGTGGGCTGGTAACTTTCAGGCATAGCTAGCCCGACTGGCTAGCAATATCTGGACACAATTTCGCACACTGTATGGTAGCCAGTTCCAAGATAACTGCTCCCTCTGAGTGGAGTATCCATGTGGCATATCTTAGTGGGCTAGCACTATAAAACAGCATTTATTTTACATTGTACTACTTTTGTTGAGTTGTTTAAGGAATTAATATTAATGATGATGGAACTATGTCCTGTTTTTGTAGAATTTATTTAATGACGTATCATATTTCAGAGCATGGACACTGAGCGACAGTTTGAGCATGACGTGTATGACGAACTACTGACGCAAGCAGAGATCCAGGGAAACGTTAACACTGTGAACAGTGAGTGAACAGCATGACTGATCTCCAAACAGGGGAGACTACTCAGGACGTTTAACTGTTTGGGTAGTATTGCAAGTTGACTTATGTTTTGACCCAGAATGAAAGTGAAATAATGCACATGGGGTGGTGGAGTAGCCTAGTGGTTATAGTATTCCCTTGTCACACTGAAAATTGGGGTTCGATTCCCTACATGGCTACAACGTGTGAAGCCCATGTCTGGTGTCCTCCGGTCTGTATATTGCTAAATGTGGTGTTAATCACACTCATTCACTCACTCATTATCAATGCTTGTTCGATATCATTGCACCCATACCACTAACAGTATATGCTCAACTAAACTTGGCCGTCATATTCATATGTAAAACATGTCTGGTTTCAGAGGTAAGGTTACAATGTTTCCATTTTATTCATTGTGGTTTTTACTCAAAACCTGTGTAGGTTATTGTACATCTAGTTAGATCATTAACTATTTCATTCTAATGTATGGATGCTTTTGTGTCAGAAGAAGACAGGGAATTATTTTTGTTAGCTTTATTTTGGTTTAAGGTAGAGAAGCCCTTTTGAATAAATTTCAAAATCATAAGATAACAAGAAGAATATGACGACTTTTTCATAAACTTTTACCTTACTTACTCTGTGATTTGAACTACAAGCTTAGGATCCTGCAACAGTTAAGGAACACAATTCTGCACATTAGTACCTCTGTGATATCTACCAGTAGATGGTATAACACAGAAGTCTCTAAGGTTAAAGAGCATAAGTTCGTAAAACTGGACATTTAAATAAGTACAAATAGTCAGTAGTACTAGGCATGGTACGGTGTATATTCACTACAACTGTAATCGACACGAGTGATACATGATTGTTGTTTCCCAGCATCCTCGGCTGTGGGGCACCTGCATGAAGCTCTCCTGAAGTCTGACCCCCGCCCTGGTGCTGGCGGCCCTCAAGGCGCCCCATCTCGGACTCAGGGGTGTCAAAGATGAAAACATCATGTTCTACATTGAGAAACTCAGGCAGGCTGCAGAACTCAAAAAGGTAGATTTACAAAACATTTATTTTTCCTTATCCTGACTCATGCTCTTTTTGCTTGTCTTCTTCTTCTTGCGAACATAGTGGAACACTTGTATCTCCTTAATTGAAGCTCCCTTCAATGTAAAATCACTAATTAGTACTCACCAAGAGTTGCCTCCCTCTTCCCAAATGCGCGGGAACGGAGGCGCCACCTCTGCCCACATGCTTCACTCTCTCCTTCTTCGCCCAGTGAGCAGGATGTGAGAGCGCCTGTGTCTCCCTACACATTATATCCTTTGATTATTCTTAGTTAGTTACCTCTTAAAGTCATCTATAGAGGTTTAGCTAGTATCCTTTCAACATTATGTATTGATATTTATTCGTGTTTCTACTGTTTATTTACGGGACGCCGTGATTGTTCAGTAGATTACGTTGATGAAAATCTGTACTGTTTGCAGGTTACGTTTTTCTGCTGCTGATCCGCATTTAATATGCCCTAGCTGTACTGCGCCATGTTCATTTTCTTCACGTTGCAGTTGCTGTACTAATTTATCCAATTCTGCCTTTAATAAATATTTACTTTGCGTTTTGAGACGCGCAGCAGATAGGTCACGAAGCAGAGTTTAGCCATGGCTGATACACCTGAACCCTCGCCAGTCAACTGCTGTCGGATCGACCCCTCCCGCCTGGTGTTCCGCTAGAGTTACCCTCGAGGAGAGGCGTGGGACGCAGTCCGCCATCTCCAAGAAGCGACCTGCATCCCCAGACATCCCGTCGTCGCAGCCGAAGACTAAGAGGGCTTCTACTTCATCTCAACGCAGACTCCGCACCCCCAGGGCAGCGTCTACCTCCAAGGGGAAATCGACGAAGTCTACTAGAACCTTCTCAGCCGAGATTGTTCCCGCCGCAGAATTGGGCCTGTATGATGATCAACCGATCATCATACCTGATGTACATCGAAAGAAACGACCGGTGTCGGCAACAGTGACGTCAGCGCAGATCAGCACGCAGCCTGATGTACCAACACTGATGTCCGATGATCTTCCTGAGGGTCCCGTCGCTACCAATGCAGAGAGAGGGCAGCAACTACTTCATTGCAGACCGTCCCAGATGACCTGATGATGATGATGGAAGACCGCTACGGTCTGGAGAGGCAACCAGCCTTGAGCCTTCACGAAGGCTCCAACGTAGACGTCACATCAGAGGGACCCCCCGTCAGCGAAGCTACTACTACGAAGCCAGCGTTGAAGAAGCCACCTTCGCGAAGGTCGTCACAGCCCACCTCCACGAAGGACCCAGATGTTCAGCATTCGCGAAGGACAACTAGATCGCCACCTACTTCGGACTCCGATGATCAACGCTCGCGAGGAGGTTTGCGAAGGAAGATCCTCTCATCCCCGGACTCGGACTCGCACTCCCCGCGAAGGTCAAGTCGTCACTCCCCAGGACCGGACTCAGATGAAGGCACAAGAAATCGACGATAACTTCAAAGTAATCAACGATGCCAAGACTAAGATGTACAAGATAGACGACCGCAAGCTAGTTCAGATTGAAACCATGACAAGAAGAATGTTCTTCGGCCTTAACAGATCAAGAACGGTTAATGAAACTCTCATCACCAGATTCCGAGATTCTACATCAGAAGACGACAGAATGATATACTCGGCCCTCCTCATGCAGAAGAAGGACCAGCAGTTTTTAACGGATCATCTTACATCAGTCTCCGCAGCGATAACTCTGGCTCGTCGTCAAGGTCTCCTCGCCTCCTGTAATTGGGGTGAACAGTTTACTTCTTCACTCTATACAGCCCCGTGGTCAACGCCGTCAATCTTCGATGGAGGTATAGATAAAGTATCTGAGGAAGTCACTAAGGACTCAAGGGAAGTCCTTATGATAAAGTCGATGGATACGCTAGCTAGCGTCATCAGGCAGACATCGCAGAGATATTCAGGAAGATCGAAGTTCACCGGCCTACAGAGAGCATGGGACAGGAAGATGGCAGGCTCAAGAGGAGGAAAAGAATCTTTTCGACGCCCATACGGCAATTACAGGGGAGGATCTGGAAGAGGCAGGGCACCCAGAGGCTGGAGTCTTCCACCCCCAGCCGTTCCAGTACAACCATCACAAGTGGGTGGATGCCTTCAACTGCACTGGGAGAACTGGGAAATTCTACAGGATCCGTATGTCTCCAACATCCAACAACACGGATATCGCATCCAACTACAGGCCATGCCACCACTTACAGTCAACCCTCTCAGGTTCGACTTCCAGGCTCAACAACTACCAAAGTTACGAGAAGCTGTGTCATCTCTCCTAACCAAGCAGGCCATAGAAGTACTGGATCAAGTAAACATCGAACCAGGCTTCTACTCCCCAGTTTTCCTAGTGCCCAAGAAAAAACTCCAAGGAAAAGTTTCGACTCATCTACAACATGAGCACGTTCAACAGAGATTATCTACGCAAACATCTACCTCAACTACGGCACCTAGTTCGTCCCATGGACTACATGGCCAGTATAGATCTGCAGGACGCTTATCTACATACATCCCGAATCCAGGAAGTACCTACGGTTTACACTAGACGGGTTGCATTACCAATGGAGAGTACTGCCATTTGGAATCTCATCGGCCCCCTGGTTGTTCACAAGAGTAACGAAACCTATCGTCACTTACCTACATCGTCTAGGGCTACAAGTAGATCAAGATCCACAGCGTCTCAAACTACAGTTAAACTTCATCATCAAGCTACTAACACAGCTAGGATGGTTAGTAAATCTACTCAAGTCGGACCTAGAACCTACGCAAGATCTGCAATTTCTAGGCATTCGATTTCTCACGACACAGAATCGTATCGTCGTACCAGAGGACCGATGGCTCAAGATCCAACAGACCATCCCACAAGCCTTACTCTCTCCACTACCACCACGACAATGGCAGAGTCTGTTGGGTCTCCTCACGTCAGCCCAAGACATGACAGTCAGAGGCAGACTACAGTTACGTCCGTTACAGGTCCTCATCAACGCTCATCTCGACGACCCACAACCATTCAGTCTACCGAAGTACGTCAGACCCCATCTACTATGGTGGACCAAGAGGTCGAATGTCTGAGAAAGGCATTTATTTAACAGAGCCGGAATTCAAAACCCATCTCTATGTAGACGCGTTGCTCCAAGGTTAGGGAGCTCATCTCGCCAACCGGACGGCATCAGGGTTATGGAACCAGCAAGAGAGCAAACTGGACATAAACATGCTAGAAATGCAAGCAGTAATCAACGCCCTACTACATTGGAGCAACATTCTACAGAGTGCGCATCTAATGATTCACACAGACAACTCAACAGTGGCGTTTTATGTAAACAAACAAGGCTCAACGAGATCATTGAACCTATTGACTCTATGTTTTCAACTGTTCGATCTAATCGACGATCTCAACATACATGTCAGAGCATGTCACATTCCAGGAGCCAAGAATGTACTAGCAGACGCACACTCTCGGCCCCATCTACCGTCACCGACAGAATGGATGCTCCATACAGAGATATTTGCACAAATTATCAAGGAAATAGGAGCTCCGCTAGTAGACCTATTCGCCACTCGCTTCAACAATCAGCTAACAACATTCGTATCACCAGTCCTGGATCCACAAGCATGGGCAACGGACGCACTAAGCATATCCTGGGAAGGCCTCAATGCGTACGCGTTTCCGCCACCAGCGCTAATTCCAAAGGTGTTACAGAAAATCAAGCAAACTCAGAGCCTCCAACTGATTTTGGTCGCGCCCTACTGGCCAGCGAGAACGTGGTTTCCAATTCTAATACAAGAAATCGGACAACCATACTACAACTACCAAAGCGCTCGAATCTACTAGTACATCCTCACACCAAACAAGCGCACGGAAACCCAGAAGCATTCCAACTTCACGTATGGACTGTATTAAAGTGTGTCTAAACAAGAGAGGTTATTCAGCCAGAGCGGCGAAAGCAGTTACGCTTGCTTTACGCAATTCTACGCGCAACTTTTATGTTCATTCCGATTGGAGGATCAGAAACAGAGATTTCAGGCTCAAGCATGGGATCTAAATATAGTGCTCCAACACCTCACAAGTGAGGCATATGAACCACTGGAATCAACATCATTTGAATTTCTGACACAGAAAACATTGTTCCTGTTATCTCTAGCAACGGCAGCCAGGATGTCAGAAATTCACGCACTAGATTATGAGAGAACACGTTTCGATGACAATCAAAACATCGTGCATATGGGACTACGCTGGGTCAACCAGACAGATTATTCCATGTCCCTGCACTCTCGTCAATTCTCGGACTTCATGATACGCTTGATCTATCATTATGCCCAGTCAGAGCACTCAAAATCTATCTACAACGATCCAAAACGAGGCGACGACAACTCAAGCGGTTATTCATCCCTCTATCGACAGCAACACAGACCGAAGTCTCGCGTACCACAATATCGATATGGATCAGAACTGTCATACTTCGCGCCTACAAGGCTGCAGGACTCGACCCTCCAAGAGCATCTAATCCACATGAAATTAGAGCACTGGCTTCAACACTCGCTCTACACGGGAATTGCTCATTGAATACCATTATGGAGGGCTGCTTTTGGAAATCCGACATGGTGTTTGCCAACCACTATCTGAGAGATATCACCACCGAGGACGTCTCAGGTATTCACCATTTCGGTCCCATGGTCCTCGCACAGCAGTTGACAGTCCCTCATAGACGATAAGATATAGTCTCACAAGATTATTACTGTATATATCATAACAGTGCTATTTAGCTTATAACTCTACGGAGTTTTGTGCTATTTTATATATATATCTTAAGTCTACATTAGTCTTAAGCCCAGTACTGATGTTGTATGTACATTGGGTTGCTTCTCCACTTTGGAGTCGCCTTATACTATTATTTTTATTATCATAATATCTATATATTGTAGTACCCCATCTTTGGCAGCTGGTAGAACTTAGCAGCAGGAATTATATTAATTACAGTGCCATTATGAAGTTCCCGTAGGGGTTATTACATTTATAAATCACTAATTATTAAAATCCAAACAGCAGCAGAGTTTACTAGTAAATACAGTGCCATTACGAAGTTCCCATAGGGGGGTATATAATGACGTAAAATTCACTAAAGAAATCCTAAAGTGCTTTTCCCACCACCTTTTCCGTAGGATTCTACAAGCAAAAGAGCATGAGTCAGGATAAGGAAAAATATGTAATTTTCTGAATAAAATTGATATTTTATACTTATCCTGACTCATGAGGTAAGCCCTCCCATCCTCCCCACATAACACTTTGGATTTCCTTGAAAATTCAAGTGTTGGGCTCGTTATAAAGGAGAGAGTGAAGCATGTGGGCAGAGGTGGCGCCTCCGTCCCCGCGCATTTGGGAAGAGGGAGGCAACTCTTGGTTAGTACTAATTAGTGATTTTACATTGAAGGGAGCTTCAGTTAGGGAGATACAAGTGTTCCACTATGTTCGCAAGAAGAAGAAGACAAGCAAAAAGAGCATGAGTCAGGATAAGTATAAAATATCAATTTTATTCAGAAAATTACATACTTGTCAGTATTTCATCTTGAATATGAGATAGCCTCAACACATACTGCCTAAGACCGATACAAACATGAAGCTCAGTGAAGGTGTAGTTCAACTTTGACTCATCATTGTCATTGTGTTCAGATAGCAGCAGGGGCGGTGGGGTAGCCTAATGGTTAAAGCGTTGGCTCATCACGCCGAAGACCCGGGTTTCGAATCCCCACATGGGTACAATGTGTGAAGCCCATTTCTGGTGTCCCCCACCGTGATGTTGCTGGAATATTGCTAAAAGCGGCGTAAAACCAAACTCAGTCAGTGAGTCAGATAGCAGCAATATGTTACAGAATAACAACAACGGGGAGGAGTCTGTGCTGGACAAGGATGAAATCCAGGCGGCCATCAACCAAGCCAACTTGGAGGCCGACACCGAGTACCAGAGTAAGGAAGCACCTCTGTACTCTATCTTTTCTAAACTGTCTACGCAAAAAGGTGTCATTTTAGAATTTACAACTAACTTATCCATATGTCTATTCTATATTCGAACTCAAATTATGTTGTGCTTTTGTTGTAAACAAAACATTCAGATAAAGTGTGTGAACTAAAGCTGCATTACATCCAACTGCACACCCACTATGACTAACAGGATCGAGTGGTCAGGCTCACTGACTTGGGTGTCACATGTCATTGTATCCTAATTGCATAGATCGATGCTCATGCTGTTGACCACTCGATTGTCTGGTTATGAATCAAGTATTTACACACTGTCGCCATATAGCTGGAATATTGTTGAGTGTGGCGTTAAAGGTCACATAAACCCTAGGGGGTACAAATACATAAATCACTAACTGGCATCGTTATAAATGAAACCCCGTCATTAAAACTACTCATTTCGACCTTTAATTGACTTAAATCGACCTTTTTTACAACAGTACACAATTCTCACCCGCGAACGAAATTTCAACCAATCAGAGCGGAGCGCCTCTGTGACGTCATATGAGGAATAGCTTTGAGGGCCGATGCAGAATTCATCTACATTTTAGGGGTTAAATTATCTTGTTTACAGGCTTGTATAAACCTGAAATCGTGACTATAAAAGCTATATGTTCTCACAATCTACTGTCATTTAATTTTGTCTCCTGCTTTGCCTAGTTTCCGAGTTACAACTTGTTTTCATAGACGATTCTGTCAAAATCGATTGGTGTCGTTAGGCCCTATTTGTATAATGACTGATCCAAATCGATCCCATTTCTGTGTTTCTTTACCTCGTTATTTAATCATGTCATGTAAAAATCTGTTTGTATTCTCAAAACAGTGTTGGCCCATAAGTTTTCACATGCAATACAGCAATTAATACTCCCTTGTTGTAACCCGTGTTAGGTGGTATAAACCTACATATGTTATTTGTCATCATTCACTTGATGGTCAGTTAATGAATTTATAACAGGTATAATTAGTGGTAACACACTTAGATTACCCGACAAAGGTTCCCATTTGGCATTTCTTGTGTCTGGAGTAAATATTCAACATTATAAACATCGATCAAAGGATTAACCGATAACACGCTGATTGATTAATTACTTTTATCTTACACAGCCGGAATTGTCAAAAGGTAGTGTTTATGTATGTAGATTTACTAATCTATACTGAATACACTCTGTCGCGGTCGGTCTCTGCGTAAAACAACGCCCTTCTTTCAAAGGATTAACCGCAATACATTGATTGATTGCCCATTATTGGCTAACTAAATTACTGTTTTAAAGAAAGGCGGACATTACGCAATTAGTTGCCAGGTGTGCTATCTTGGGTGACCAGTGAGACTATACACCAATACCTGAAAAGATTTATCACTTTTTCAGAAATTAAACTGTTCAAAGACACATCATTTGGAACAGTTTTGTGGATATTGATGGATACATTCCTAACAAGGTAATGGCCTGATTTGTTATAATTAGTGGTAACACACTTAGATTACCCCGACAAAGGTTCCCATTTGGCATTTCTTGTGTCTGGAGTAAATATTCAACATTATAAACATCGATCAAAGGATTAACCGATAACACGCTGATTGATTAATTACTTTTATCTTACACAGCGGAATTGTCAAAGGTAGTGTTTATGTATGTAGATTTACTAATCTATACTGAATACACTCTGCCGTGGTCGGTCTCTGCGTAAAACAACGTCCTTCTTCAAAGGATTAACCGGCAATACATTGATTGATTGCCCATTATTGGCTAACTAAATTACTGTTTTTAAAGAAAGGCGGACATTACGCAATTAGTTGCCAGGTGTGCTATCTTGGGTGACCAGTGAGACTATACACCAATACCTGAAAAGATTTATCACTTTTTCGTAAATTAAACTGTTCAAAGACACATCATTTGGAACAGTTTTGTGGATATTGATGGATACATTCCTCGAACAAGGTAATGGCCTGATATTGTTCCTATAACTTTAATCTGTTTTAATTTTAATATTTGCTTTTTGATTTTATTCATTTGTCGTAGCATTCAACAGAATCATTGTTTTCGCCTTGAAGTGTAATGAGTCAGACAACATGCACTAGGGTGTGTGTGCGAATTATGATTCACATTGGCAAACTATAAAATGTCTAGATATTACAGTTCTATTATAAATCCACTATAAGTATCAGCAGATCGCTCTGCTTTTTATTTAGTTTCAAAATGCATACAAGTATGATAATAAACTAATTAGGAATATAAGACCAAATATAAAGACGCATTGACTAGTATCTACATACTGGTGAACGGACATTAACCATGGGAATGTAGCAAGAAATTTATCACAAGCAGTATTGTGACTTCGACCCCCATCTCGCTTCTGTGGAAGAAATCGTTATGTTATAAGTTGTGTCATGCAAAATCCGTTTGGTTATGATTCCAATACATATTTAACTTCATTTAGTAGAAAGTAGTCTTGATTATCTAACTTGATGAAAACAAACTATAATCTCATTAATTCTAACAGATTTTTTATTTTTAAAAATGGCGCCTATCGGGAACATCCGCCAGTCTGAGGATAAATGGTATTTAGGTTTGTTTTCACCGAGTTACCAAATCAAAACTACTTTCTACTGGTAGTAAAATATGTATTTTATTGATGGCCAATAGGATTTTGCATGACATAGCGTATAACATAACAATTTCTCTCGTGGCAGCGAGGTGGGTGTCAATATAATACTACTTACAATATTATTGTTACTTCGACCACAACCTCACTTCCGAGGAAGAAATCGTTATGTTACAAGTTGTGTCATAGAAAATCTTTATGGTCATCAATCATATACATATTTTACAACAACTAGTAAGTAACTTGTTTGAGTGGCATTTTAGAAGTTGAGACGTACAATATATAACAAGTTTTATGGATAACAACTTCTTTATTTTCGTGAGTGCGACGTTTCGATACAGATTCTTGTACCGTTGTCAAGCAAGAGTGATACATGAAGTGTAGGAGCTGCATATATATACTGTATATAACAATGAAACAACATAATAGACAAAGGAAACAACATAATTGCCACGATTGGCTAAGCAGTAAGCTGATGAAGCCAGTAAGTACATAAAGGATAGTGAATGGAAACCAGAGATGTAGTTACAATGAGATGTTTATACAATGGATGCGAAGTTTATACAATAGACTGGGCTTGGTGGAGGAGTGGATCATAAGCAGATGGAATGAAGTATCCTTGGTCACGGTTGATGGTAGGCTTGTGGCGTTTGATGTGAATGGCTTCTGTGAGCTTGCGTTTAGTGAAGTCCGTTGTTTCCTTTGTCTATTATGTTGTTTCATTGTTATATACAGTATATATATGCAGCTCCTACACTTCATGTATCACTCTTGCTTGACAACGGTACAAGAATCTGTATCGAAACGTCGCACTCACGAAAATAAAGAAGTTGTTATCCATAAAACTTGTTATAACTAGTAAGTAGTTTTGATTCTTTAACTTCCGTGAAGCGATCTGAACACAAGTAAGATATCGTTTCAGGCTTCCACAACGCTCGCTTCGCACTCACAAACATAACCGATTTAGCACGAACTGCGGGGTCCTGTGGAAATCTGTGCATGGGGACACCATCGCCCGACCCCTAGGAGCAATTGACGACAAAGCAACGATTCGGCATGTCATCGTTGATGTCGAGAAATCATCAAAATGATGAGCGTGCTACACATTTTCTATACAACTAACTGAAAATCGTTCCTCATATGACGTCACTGCAGTGCTCTGGCGACAGAGTTACGTAACCTGTCTGTGGTTTCGTTGGCGGGCGAGAGGGAAGCAGGCGCCTTTTTTGCCACTTTTAATCGCTCGGTATTAATTAACCTCAAGTTTTTAAAGAATAAATTTGGTGTTCCGCATACGACTAACCACGAATCTTTCATATGTAATGGTTAAAAGAGTAACAAAAAACAAAGTTTAGTGGTTCTTTAAGCAACAAGTAAAACCAACTGTGCCATTGAAAGTCAATATAACAGAGTCCAGCAATTGTCTGATGAGTTTCAGTTTGGTCAACACTACTACCATGGTTGTATTTCAGTGTTTTACAGATGACCACAAATATTATTTCATAAAAGCTTAAAACCTATAAGAATGACATGTATCATGTCATCCTTTTGTGTAGTAATTTATCCACAGTACAGCTAACATACACATGGGCTGTAATAGTTAATCCAGTTCAATCAGCTGCTCTCTCTATGGACTGTCTGAAGCTTTTACTTACTGATCAGTCAGTGTATATATCGAGTCCGTATGGTCATTCACAGTGATATGATTCTGATGTAACCGCGTTGTCTGTTTGTGTGTGGTCATCACTTGGCCAAGATTCTTATCACAAATACCTCTTTACACATCACAGAATCCCAAGCACTCCTGTCCATCAACTCTGCCATCAATGGCAATGACCCTGTCCAGGTGATGAAAGCCCTACAGAACCCGTCTGCCCAGCTGCCGCCAGTTGTCCCGGGGGCGGGCGGCCATGTTGTATCTGGAGGAGTTCAGGAATATCAGGACAGATAAACAGGTCAGAAATTGGGAACACGTTTCTCAAGGACCATGCATGAGCAACAGAATAGATGAAGGCAGTAAACTATTAATTTTTCCTTATCCTGACTCATGCTCTTTTGCTTGTCTTCTTCTTCTTGCGAACATAGTGGAACACTTGTATCTCCTATTGAAGCTCCCTTCAATAAAGAATAGACGTAAAATCACTCCTACCAAGAGTTATCTCTCCAGCTGTTTAGGCGGGAAACTGTGGTGCCACCGTGCCCTCATGCCTCACTCTCTCCTTCGCCCTGTGGGCAGGTTGTGAGAGCGCCTGTGTCTCCTATACGGCACTATATCCTTTAATTAATTAGTTATTTTCCTCTATTCTACTTTTATAGAGGTTTAGTTAGTATCCTACTACAATATGGTTGGATATTTAATCCTATTTAGCACTGTTTATTTACAGTATTGTCCGTATTTGTTCAGTTGTTTACATTTCATGATAACCTATTTTCGTTGTTGGTTTAGGTTCGCTGCTGCAGACCCATGTTGATTGTGCCCTAGCTGCACAACTATATGTACTTCCAGCTACAGCTGTAATCTTTATCAGCTTTTAATTGAAATTCAAATTAATATATAATTTTTCTCCGTACTTAGACGTACTATCAACTATCCAGGTGACTTCCAAGTCATGGGTAAACTGGCTGAGTCCCTCATGAGCTGTCTACTGCGGTTAGACGACTTACTACCATCAAGTGAGCTGCCGGAGGTGTACTCGGAGGATGGGCGTGGGATGTTGTCCGCCTACTTCGAAGACGTTGGCTTCTACATCTGACAACCCCTCAACGCAGACGTAGAAGCGCCATCCTCTACGCAGAATGAAGCCTCATCCTGATGCCAGCGAGAGGGTTTCATGTTAAGCCACTGCTGATCTTCCCAGAGATACAGCACGCAGTCCGAGGGCGACAGATGAGCGATCTCCGGACCATATCGCTATCAACGCAGAGAGGGCAGCTCTACAATCATCGCAGACGATGTATAGACGCCATCCTCTACACAGAAGGCTACACACCCCTTAGATGACGACAACTCTACGGGGACGTCTACGCAGACTACAAGGACTTTCTCTGCCGAGATTGTTCCGTTGACGGTACAGGGACTCTCCGATGATCAACCGATCATCTTCCCAGAGGTTCATCACAAGTAACAACCAGTGAGCTACGGTGACTTCAGCGCAAATCTCCACGATACCAGAGGTATCTACGATGACAACAGATGAGCGTCCTGTGGGCCACGTCGCTATCACCACAGAAAGGGCAGCGCTACTATCACCGCAGACCTTCAAACCGGGGGGACCGTATGCAGGAGATGAACAACATTACGGCCTGGAGTAGAAGTCACAGCCCACAACGAGGTCCCGAGCCTTCACGAAGGTTCCAACGCAGACGTCGTCTCTGAGGGACCCTCCATCAACGTGACATCTGGCAGCAGATCTACACTACAGGCCAGCCTTCGCGAAGGTCGACTTAACCATCCCCTGCGGCGGACACAAACGATCAGCATTCGCGCGAAGGCGTTCGCGAAGGAAGAATCACCATCCCCGGACTCAGATGAAGCTTCGCGAAAGCCTTCGCAAAGGACAAGACGTCGCTCCCCAGATGCGGACTCAGATGAAGCTATTCGCGAAGGAACAGTCGCCATCCCCCCAGATGTGGAATCAGCGTTCGCGAAGCCATTCTTCCATCCCTGGCTACAGAATCGGACCACCAGCGTTCGCGAAGGACCAGTTGCCATCCTCCACATGCGGAATCAGTGTTCGCGAAGGCATTTGTGAAGGAAAATTCTTCCATTCCCGGATACAGAATCGGACAACCAGCGTTCGCGTAGGCGTTCGCGAAGCACCACTCACCACTCCCCAAGTACGGACTCAGTTGAGCCTTCGCGAAGGACGTCAGCTACAGTATACAAGCATCTTTGTCCCATAGATCGTCGAGGGATTCACCAGGACCTTCCCGTACCTACAGGTCACCCTACAGGCACAGTTCGTCGGGCTATTTACCACGTCGATCTCCTCCCCGACTTCCACGAGATCCCCATACAGGTCTCCAGCGAAACAGAGACATCGCAGTACTTTGTCTCTCTACTGTACGCCACATGCCGTCTACAAGCCTGCGCGAAGGCATTCGCGCAGGCAATCTACAACACAGAAACGCCGCAGAACGCTACATGTCATCACCGAGCCTGCGCGAATGCATTCGCACAGGCCAGCCACAAGGCGGGAATCATCACGGGAATCACCATTTCGGTATATATTGCCAGGTAGGCAATCCTGGACTACGAGACGATTATCTACATGCAAGGCGCCATACAGTCACACCAAACGACCACCACGCAGATCACTACGCAGATCGTCGAGGTTATTCAACTAGGACACGAAGTAGCGTCATCCTAGAAGGGAAAAGATCTTCGTCGATACACAGACTGAAGATAGGTCATACAGTACAAGAGACGTACTTTTGCCAGAATTCATCACTAGCTCGGATCTTCAGACGGAATCCAGGACGGATTCACATAGATTGATATATCTACATTAGAAGATTCATGGCCTTATAGAGATCTTCACCTTCGTACAGATCTGCAGACATTCTCTCTGACGGAGTTCATCGGCAGCCTTGCTACAGCTAGGAAATTACTCATCACTGATTCCCTGAGTGAAATTTACAACAAGTTCAGCATTAATTCTACAATTACGACGCTTCATTGATGTAAGCAGTCTACAAGCTGACAACGTGAAAGTTTAATTGAGCCTATGTATAAAGATGACGGCATTATCTTCAAAACTAAAGTAAGAGTCACAGCAGCCAGGAAAACAACCTACCCAGCATCGATGTTACGTGCCCGAAATATTTCGCGCCGAAATATTCGTGCGTTTATCATTTAACCCTCGACACATGTGGTCACTCGTGTAACTTCGGAAAACTACAGACAAGACCGACGATTGATCAGATATCAACGACGGTACTAGATTCTACAAGGATCATTTTCCTGCTACACCGGTGACATCACAGCGCGGCTAGCCTAAAGAATCAAAATGCTTTGCTTTGATTGGACCACGAGGGACAACGCCCTGCGCAGAAGTCGGACGTAGTTCACAGATCAAGAAATGGGTTACAAGTGACAACAACATGTCAGCGAGCGAGCAACGCCTCCATTACAGTCCAGTTAGACTGGACCTTCGTGATTTGGCTGCCTTCATGAGGTTACAGACCCCTCCTGTCATCATGGAAGACGAGGGCGTGGCAGCCAGGCGATGTTTACATACAGTTCGCAACGATGGCAGGCACAGAGTCGGCCATCGCTTCATTCCTTACAGACACGGTAAGGGTGTCAAAAGCGTAGGATATAGATACAAGTTCTTGTATCTCAAGCACTACTCTCTCCGTTTTACTACGAAGTAGCGGAACCTGTTGGTTTTCGCAAGTCAGCACAAGACATGACATGCAGAGAGAATTACAACTACGCCCACTACTGGTCTTCATGAATATACCACCGGAAGATCCGGACAGGTGATAACCCATATCTGTATATGGTGAACTCCGTGCGAGAAGGGTTGCAGAAGCACCTAATTAGCGGGGTCGCAGTACAAGACGCATCTCCTTGGGGATGCATCTCTCCTAGAGTGGGAGCACACCTTGTCAACAATGTGTCAGCTGGGATATGGACCATAGCAGAGACAATCTGCATGTCCATATGCTGGAAATGAAAGCAGCGATGAACGCCATGCTCCACCAGATCAGCATTTTTATAAAATGCTCATCTAACGGTACACACAGTCACCTCCACAGTGACGGTCTACATCCACAGAAGGATCAACAAAGTTGGCGAACCTTCTGGACTTCTGCTGTCAGTTGATCAGCATAACAGTCATCCTGACTGTCCACAGCAGAGTAGGCCACATTCCAAGAACCTGTCCAACACAACCATTCTCAACAGACTGGATGTTACATTCAGAGATCTTCAAACAGATCATATAAGAGATGGTTGAACCTTTAAGAGACCTCTTCTCCACAAGGGTCAACTGATAAAATTCATCTCACCAATATCAGATCCACGGACAGGGACAACGGACATGCGAAGCATCTCCTGCCTAGGACTAAACACTTATGTGTTTATCCACCAGCTCTATTACCAAGGGTATTGCAGACATCAGTCAGGCAAGAGACCCACAACTATTTAGGGCACGCCTTTTGACCAGCGAGAATATGATTCCTATTCTCATACAAGATCTAGGATTGCTTCTACTGCAACTACCAGAGTGTACGAATCTACTAGTACATCCTCACACAAAGCAGGCGCACGGCAACCCGGAGGTGTTCCGGCTACACGTGTGGACTGTATCAGACATGCTTGAACTGGAGAGGATATTTCGCCACAGCAGCAAAAACGGTCACACTAGCTTACGCAAGTCGTCACACAACTTGTCTGATGACAAGTAGTGACGCTTTGAAACAAAAATACGCTTCAAGGATCGGCTTCACACTCATGAAAGGGACACATCCTCAAGTGGCGGATTACCTTTGTCACCTAGACAAAGGAAGCGGTAAAAAGGGTCAACACTCTCAACATACCTAGCGGCATTGAGAGCAGTTATCGTCATGAGGACGAGTGCAACTAACAAAGTACCAGAGTTACTGGCCTTACTATGCCCTTTAATTGGAGGACCAACATCAGAGATTTAAAGCTCCGGTATGGGACCTCAGCGTTGTTCTACGACATCTCACTAGTGACATCTACGAACCATTATAGAGAACATCATTAGAGTTCTTGACACAGAAGGCGCTGTTCCTGATAACCTTAGTAACAGCAGCAAGGATGTCGGAAATACATGCTCTGGATTGAGAGATTGACGATAATGGAGGGCTGCTTCTGGAAATGGGACATGGTGGTTGCCAACCATCACTTGAAGAACATCGCCACTGAGGACAGTTTTTACATTCACCATTTTGGCCCACTTATTGTAACACAACAATTGACAGTCCCACTAAGGCGCTGAGACGGAGGCTCGCCCTTTTGTTGCATAACTTACTAAGTTTACACTCAGCGGAGTTCTGCTTAAATCATATGCACGTCTAACAACTAGCATAAGTAATTTGACCCAGTACTTGTAAGGATACTGGTACAGGAATGGGTCGCTTCTCCACTTGGTGCTTGCATCAAGAGTTAGAGTCGCAAAATCCACATACAATGTTAACACATGTAAGGACCAAAAGTTAACTTTTGTGGTCCCCCCATTTTAAGGCAGCTGGAAGGCTAGGGTCGCAACAGCAGCAGAGTTTACTAGTAAATACATTGCCATTACGAAGTTCCCATAGGGGGGTATATAATGACGTAAAATTCACTAAAGAAATCCTAAAGTGCTTTTCCCACCACCTTTTCCGTAGGATTCTACAAGCAAAAGAGCATGAGTCAGGATAAGGAAAAATATGTAATTTTCTGAATAAAATTGATATTTTATACTTGTCCTGACTCATGAAATAAGCCCACCCATCCTCCCCTCTAGACACTTTGGATTTCCCTGCAAATTCAAGTGTCGGGCTCATAATCAGGAGAGAGTGAGGCATGAGGGCACGGTGGCACCACAGTTTCCCGCCTAAACGGCTGGAGAGATATTACTCTTGGTAGGAGTGATTTTACGTCTATTCTTTATTGAAGGGAGCTTCAATAGGAGATACAAGTGTTCCACTATGTTCGCAAGAAGAAGAAGACAAGCAAAAGAGCATGAGTCAGGATAAGTATAAAATATCAATTTTATTCAGAAAATTACATAATTTCAATAAATTATGATGTGCACACAAAATGAATCAGTCAACAGATATGACAGTCAAACATTTGAATACTGTGAATGAAATAATGCCCCTATGCACGCATTTCAAGCCAATAGATATACCTACAAAATGAGACAGATCAAAAAGACCAGGGAGTTTGGAATGACAGCTGAAGTCACATCATATCATATCCACTGGTTGGGGAACAAATAAACCAGCTTTGAGCTAATACCTGGATAAATGCAGATAAGGATGTGTAATATAACGTTTTGATCATGAATCCTTTTGAAAATGTCATTGTGAATAGAGCTAATGTAAATTCTCAGTCTCCATCTGGTACATGGAATAATTCAGGCTCTGTCAGTTCAGATATTATCCTGCCCTGGGCCCTTATTCTCGAAATGTTCGTAGCCCTAAGAAGTCTTAACTTTGATCGTAGCTAATGTGTTACAAATAGGCTTAAGAAGTTTCGAGAATAACTAGCCAGGCTGATTAAATGTACATCATTCCCTGTTTAACTGTCCAAATGGATGTGTTTTCAGGGCGACCTTGAGCACCATGAGATTGCATCAGCCATCACAGGTGAGATTGGATTGTGAGGTAGCTTCCATGTTCAGATTTCACAGAATGGTCATCCTGACGAGATATGAATAAGTGGTGTACATTTACATTTTGCATCTGGTGTTGACTCTCCATAGTGAAAATGTAACTAGTTAGTCTCTTCTGAAAACGTCCAAGTCAATACTTGACTTTTGACATCAATTTCAGAACATTTTAGGGTTATGCGGACTTTTATTAGCAGAGCATAACGGACCAGACATTGTTTTCCTTGACTCAGGTTTTGGTTAGTGGCTATGTATGCAGACTGGGTGTGTTTTCTGTTGATGTACATGCCACTGTACACTATCCTCCATCTGTTGCCAGTGCTGACTGCAGTGGCACTCATCAACCAGGCTGTGGACACAGGGAGCCCGGAGAACACGTTCAGTGCCCTCTGCCAACCAGACGCCCACCTGCCGGAGGTGGATGAGAACAATATGGAGAAATATCAGGATTACTTGGCTGCTCAGAAACACAGCAAGTCTGGGGTAAGGGGGATAACTGCTCTAGTTAAATGCTTGTGAAAAGTGTTTAGAAAAGTTACAAGGAACTGCAGAGTGTCTGTTGAGAACAATTACAATTTTTACAACCTTATTTCATAAGGAACATGTAATCTGCAATTATTTATGAATGGGTTATTTGAAATATTGCCCATAGGCATATTTCTTAGGAAATGCGGAAAACATTTGTCTGTGGAGGTTATTAGGTCAATCAACTGATGATGGAACTTTACATAAAATCATCTGTCTCGAACTACCAGTCTAATCTTTATTATTTTAACCCTGATGTAAATTTATATTTGTGCATGAGAGAATGTTCGCTATTACAGAACCCATGTGACCTGCTAACTCACCACGAGATCTCAACGGGTGTGGAGACCATCCATCAGCAGGTGCAGGAGGAACATGAACGTAAGTCTTACATAGAAGTTAGGGAAATGGTACCAGCAGGTGCAGGAGGAACATGAACGTAAGTCTTACATAGTAGTTAGGGAAATAGTACCAGCAGGTGCAGGAGGAACATGAATATAAGTCTTACATAGTAGTTAGGGAAATAGTAGCAGCAGGTGCAGGAGGAACATGAACGTAAGTCTTACATAGTAGTTAGGGAAATAGTACCAGCAGGTGCAGGAGGAACATGAATATAAGTCTTACATAGTAGTTAGGGAAATAGTACCAGCAGGTGCAGGAGGAACATGAATGTAAGTCTTACATAGTAGTTAGGGAAATAGTACCAGCAGGTGCATGAGGAACATGAATGTAAGTCTTACATAGTAGTTAGGGAAATAGTACCAGCAGGTGCAGGAGGAACATGAACGTAAGTCTTACATAGTAGTTAGGGAAATAGTACCAGCAGGTGCAGGAGGAACATGAATACAAGTCTTACATAGTAGTTAGGGAAATAGTACCAGCAGGTGCAGGAGGAACATGAATATAAGTCTGACATAGTACCAGCAGGTGCATGAGGAACATGAATATAAGTCTTACATAGTAGTTAGGGAAATAGTACGAACAGGTGTAGGAGAAACATGAACGTAAGTCTTACATAGTTGTTAGGGAAATAGTACCAGCAGGTGCAGGAGGAACATGAATATAAGTCTTACATAGTAGTTAGGGAAATAGTACCAGCAGGTGCAGGAGGAACATGACCGTAAGTCTTACATAGTAGTTAGGGAAATAGTACCAGCAGTAATAGTTGTCCATGAAATAGTAACGGGACAACAAATAGTTGATCCTTGAAAAGTGCCACGGGAATGTTTCCATTAGGTGCACAAGGATCATGTAAATATTCAGTGTTATTACTGTCAAGTTCACCAGTTTAGAGCTCCTTTGCATAGTGCCAACGCGTAACTCCTCACCACACGATATGACTATGGTGACTTTGATGCAGAATGTGTCTCGATTAGCGTTCTTGTAAATATTGACATTACGGCTCATCATATCCACTGGCATGTCTGCTAGATATGACTGGAATATGGCTGACACTGTTGACAGCAAGCGCTTGCTCCTTACAAATACCATTCTGTTGTGTGTGCTGTTTTTCAAATATTAGTGTTTGTAACTGTAGGAATCCTGGCCATCAACAAGATCAACGAAGTCATTACACAAGGGGAGCCAGAAGACACGCTGGAGGCCCTACAAACACCATCGGCCAAACTGCATGGCATCGACGCCCGACAGGCTTACCAGTATCAGGCCCTGCTCCTCAAGGAAAAGCAGCAAAAGGCAGAGGTGAGATCACAGACAGTCTGTTGAGTCCACTTGCCGGAATTTGTCTCATTTTTGTAAAGATTTGTCACAGTGTCTCAGCCAAGCAGATAAAGCAAGAGGCCTGTGTTCTATTCCCGACTTGGGTACAAAGTCTGAAACCCCCTGGTTTCTATTTGTTGTGATACAATGTTGCTGTGAGCATAACTACTCATACAATAGACTTCAGTGTAACTATATTTATGTACTATTGCAGTGTATGAAATAAGGTCCGACCGACTGCCTGCCCAAGATGGGCTAGATTTCTGATGGACGGTCTAAATTTACAGCTAGCCAGCCTGATGGTTTGGTAATTTTTTTATAGATATTCCATACATCTGAGTAAATTCACCATATCTTGGTGTCTGGTCTGGTTAAATCCATTTTGGGCTGGTAACATTTTGAAGTTACCAGCCCTGGTGTCTGGCTGGGTTTTTGGCTTATTTCATACATTGACTATTGTAGCTACTTTATATAAATAGTACGTTGAGATTTGTTGGTCAAAGGTGACAATTTACAATGTGAAGTTACTTTGTAAGGGATAACAATCAAGGTGGCAAGCGACACACAAAACATTTATTCATGACGACTAGACAGGACAGAAGACAAGACAAGACTGATGCACACATGCAGCACGGACAACCCACTAACAATACTTAGACCTGATTGGCTCACCGTGTCATGTGTGTGATGCATATGAACCGCAATACTTAAAGGGACCATCCGTCTCATGTTTACATCTCACAACTTCCCTTGATGTCTTTCACACATTGTTTTTGAGTCCTGTATGTCCGATGAGTCTTGGTTTGTCAACAACACATCCCCGGGGGAAGGGAGACTTGCCCTAGGATCATTAGGATGGATAGTGACCTGAGTCTTGGTTTGTCAACAACACATCCCTGGGGGAAGGGGGACTGCCCTAGAATCATTAGGATGGATAGTGACCTGAGTTTTGGTTTGTCAACAACACATCCATGGGGGAGGGGGGACTGCCCTAGAATCATTAGGATGGATAGTGACCCGAGTCTTGGTTTGTCAACAACACATCCCTGGGGGAGGGGGGACTGTCCTAGAATCATTAGGATGGATAGTGACCCGAGTCTTGGGTTGTCAACAACACATCCCTGGGGGAGGGGGGACTGCCCTAGAATCATTAGGATGGATAGTGACCTGAGTCTTGGTTTGTCAACAACACATCCCTGGGGGTGGGGGGACTGCCCTAGAATCATTAGGATGGATAGTGACCTGAGTCTTGGTTTGTCAACAACACATCCATGGGGAGGGTGACTGCCCTGGAATCATTAGGATGGATAGTGACCCGAGTCTTGGTTTGTCAACAACACATCCCTGGGGGAAGGGTGACTGCCCTGGAATCATTATGATGGATAGTGACCTGAGTCTTGGTTTGTCAACAACACATCCCTGGGGGAAGGGGGACTGCCCTAGAATCATTAGGATGGATAGTGACCTGAGTCTTGGTTTGTCAACAACACATCCCTGGGGGAAGGGAGACTGCCTTAGAATCATTATGATGGATAGTGACCCGAGTCTTGGTTTGTCAACAACACATCCCCGGGGGAGGGGAGACTTGCCCTAGGATCATTATGATGGATAGTGACCTGAGTCTTGGTTTGTCAACAACACATCCCTGGGGGAAGGGAGAGTGCCCTAGAATCATTAGGATGGATAGTGACCTGATCCACGTGGGATTTTTCTCGAACACTGTGGTAGAACAGATACCTCTGTCACTCTCAACTCACTCAGGACAGAAAGACTTATCATTAGAAAAATTCTCATTAGATAATTTGTTGTTGCAGTTTCAGATGACTGTAGTGCTGTATTATTGTTTTTATTAAAGGAAATTGAATTGTTTGAAAGATTTTCAGTATATGTTTTGTAAATATATAAGTAGCACAATTGCCAGTGGCTGAATGGATGTAGTAAATTCAGCTTGGGTCCATGCAGGAAGCAAACATACTGTAAGACCCCATGGTCCTTAGTATGGTGATCTATCTTCAGTTGTTGACAATTTGTAGCTTGTTTTATATGTTGTATTGTCTATAGTTTTATATTTACAGGCTGGTTTTACGTCTGTATCTGTGATTTTGGGGTTTTTAATGTAGTTTTTCAACATGTTTTTATATTCTCGATTTGTGTCATGAATGTATAACCTATTATGTTACTATATGGCTGAAATACTGCGGATATGACTAGAAATCTAAAATCAGGATGTGTATGTTGTTGCAGGCTACAGGTGATGAGGATGCAGAGCTATGGTTGGAGGAGATTCAGTTGTGTGTGGAGAAGGCCAACAAGGATGCGAATGATGGCGTCGGGAGTGAGCACCATCTAAATCTCTTTCTACCCTCCCCTTTCTGTTTCATCTTTGCACTCATGCTGCCTTTGTGTTATCAAGTTTTACATATGGTTGTTGTTCGTGTAATGATACAGCAATACAATACTATGTCGCAGTTTGAGGCATACAATATATTGCACTTCAAAGTATTTTGATGTAAAAACATGGGAAAAATAAAAGTTAAAAATAATGTTTATACAGATTCCGTAAACAATAGAATCTGCACTGTGCCCCAAGCTTTTATGTTTCTTCCCTACAATATCCCATCTTTTGCTGACCGCCTCCGTGGTGTAGTGGTTAGAGCGTCTGCCCGGAGAGTGGAAGGTCGCGGGTTCGATCCCAGACCGCGTCATACCAAAAGACGTTAAAATATGGTACTTGTTGGTCCCTGCCTGGCACTCGGCATTAATGGGTACAACAAGGACTGGTCGGCTCGGAGTCAGTATAATGTGTCTGAGTGGGGTATTCATGCTTCACTGTGGCATGGTATCTCAGTGGGCTAGCACTATAAAACCAGCTTCAGTCTGGGCTAGTACAAGCAGCCGCGAATAAACATACACACGCATGCACGTCGTCATATGAGTGAAATATTCTCAAGTATGACGTTAAAGCCAATTGCACCTCACCTCACCATCTTTTGCTTTTGGAGATTTAAAAAAGAAATGGTTCAGGGTTGCGATTTAGCTGCAGAAAGGTAGATAATATGACATAATATTGATGATAGCAATAGATAAACAATACCCACTCACCCCTCACTCTTCTGTTAATGGTAACAGTGTATTCTTGATTGTCACTTTATGTGAAGATATCAACAGATGCTTATGTTTATATTCATTTATAAGTCAAGCAGTCACGTTTTTCAAATCCTTACTAATATGACAAGGATAGCCATTTAGCATATAATTACTTCTTCAGTTTCCTTGGGCGTGAATGCCATCAACGAGGCCATCAGTGCCGAAGACGTTGCCAGTCTACAGTCTGGTCTGACTAACTCGGAGGTGGGTCTCCACAGCGTCACACCCGACTGCACCCCTACCTACATGGGCAGCCTGAAGACCCTACAGACCAAGAAGTCACAAGCTGGTGGGTGCAGTAACTCCAAACACAAAGCACTGAGGGGCCACTACAGAATTACTACAATATTTTTCGTAACAGATCCAACAAGATTGTATTTTTGATGATCCGCTGACCTCATGATAACAGATCAGATCAGTCCATGCATGGACATGTATTGATATGGCAGGGGCTTAAAGTGATACTATTTTTATGTTTATTATTTATCGAACAATGGTTTGCATGTTTCATGTTGTTGGCATGTAGGCGAGTGTGGCAGTGGCTGGATGATGAACCGAACGCGGGATGGATCCAAGTTCTTCTACAACATCCACACCGGGGAGTATGAGTGGTACCGACAGGATGGCGTAGTCAAGGATCACAGTCTGCTCACCAAAGATGAAATTCAGGTAACATCTTCGTTGAAACAGAATCACATTAAGTTTGAAATAAAGGTAAATTTTTCCTTATCCTGACTCATGCTCTTTTGCTTGTCTTCTTCTTGCGAACATAGTGGAACACTTGTATCTCCCTATTGAAGCTCCCTTCAATTGAAACATGCGTAAAATCACTAATCACTACTCACCAAGAGTTGCCCCTCTTTGCTCCCACTGGCGGGAAAGACGGCGCCACCGTATCCCACATGCTTTACTCTCTCCTTCTTCGCCAAGTGAGCAGGATGTGAGAGCGCCTGTGTCTCCCTACGGCACTATATCCTTTGACATGTAGTTACCTCTACACGTCTCTTATAGAGGTTTAGCTAGTATCCTTCAACAATATGATTTGATATTTATTCGTATTTACTGCTGTATTTAATCGCGGTGTATGCCGTGATTGTTCAGTAGGTTACGTTCATGAAAATCTGTACTGTTTGCAAGTTACGTTTCTCTGCTGCTGATCCGCATTTAATATGCCCTAGTTGTACTGTACCATGTTCATTCAGTTCACGTTGCAGTTATTGTAATAATTTATCTAATGTTGCTTTTAACAAATATTTACTTTGCGTCTTGAGACGCGCAGCAGATAGGTCACGCAAGTTAAATCCAGGCATGGATAATGCGGCTGAGTCCCTGTCAAGTCAACTGCTGTCGGACGACCCCTTCCTGTCTGGTGTTCCGCTAGAAGTTTCTTCGGAGGAGGCGTGGGATGCAGTCCGCCGTCTCCAAGATGCGTCCTGCATCACCAGACATCCCATCGTCGCAGCCTAAGACTAAGAGGGCATCGACTTCTCAGCGCAGACTCCGCACCCCCAGGGCAGCGTCTACTAAGAAACCAACGCAGACTACAAGAACTTTCTCGGCCGAGATTGTTCCCGCTACAGAACTGGGCCTGTATGATGAGCAGCCGCTCATCATACCCGATGTTCGTCGCAAGAAACGGCTGGTTTCAGCTACAGTGACGTCTGCGCAGATCCTCAATCAGCCCGATGTATCAACGCTGATGACTGACGATCTTCCCTTGGGCCCCGTCGCTACCAACGCAGATAGGTAAGCACCTACAGCTTCGCAGACCGTCCCAGACGACTTGGTGCAACAACTTATGAAGTTGATGGAAGACGGACTGGAGAAGAGACAACCAGCCCAGGGCCCAAGCCTTCGCGAAGGCTCCAACGTAGATGTCAACCCTGAGGGACCTCCCATCAACGTAGCGGCTGCTACCAAGTCACCACTGAGGGACCAGCCTTCGCGAAGGACGTCACAGCCCACCTCTGCGAAGGACCCAGACGATCAATGTTCGCGAAGGCCTTCGCGAAGGACCTCTAGATCGTCACCTACCTTGGACTCCGATGACCAGCGTTTCGCGAAGGTGTTCGCGAAGGAGGATCCTATCATCCCCGGACTCAGATGAAGCTTCGCGTAGGCTTTCGCGAAGGACAAGACGTCACTCCCCAGATGCGGACTCGGATGAAGCTTCGCGAAGGCCTTCGCGAAGGACATGAGTTACAGTCTCCAAGTCATCTTCGTCCCGGAGGTCATCGAGGGATTCCCCAGGAGCTTCGCGAAGCTATCGTCGCTCACCTTCGCGAAGGTCACCTTATAGACGCTACTCGTCGGGCCAGTCTCCACGTCGATCTCCTCGCCGTTCTCCACGTCGATCTCCTCGCCGTTCTCCTCGTCGATCTCCTCGTAGGTCTCCACGCAGATCACCACGTAGGACACCACACAGATCACCACGACGTTCGGAAGTCTCCACACAGGTCGCCATGAAGGTCTCCGGACGGGACTCCACCTCAGTCACCATTGGAAGAGTATCATCGGCCTCTCATCAATGATCCTATTACTGAAGACGATGGAGGCATCATATTCTCCGACGCGGAAATACGGTACTGGATGGTCAACAACCTGGACTTGGCTTCGCCCTCTAAGGATGATAATGCCGCTAACACCTACATTATGAAGGAGGACGACGTAGATACGATCACCCTACCACCTATTGATCCTATAGCATCGGTTCCACAGAACCTGGATACAGCATTCCAGACAGCCACTAAAGCTCAGGCGCCGCACTTGCCACAGTTCAACGCCAAGAAGTTCTCTACGCATAATATGGGACCCTTCCTTAAAGCACAAGAAATCGACGATTACTTTAAAGTCATCAACGATGCCAAGGCCAAAGCGTACAGCATAGAGGATCGCAAGCTGGCTCAAGTCGAGACTATGACCAGAAGGATGTTTTTCGGCCTCAACAGATCCAGGCCTATTAATGAAACTCTCATCACTAGATTTCGAGATTCCACATCAGAAGACGACAGAATGGTATACTCGGCCCTCCTTATGCAAAAGAAGGACCAACAGTTCATGACGGAACACCTTTCATCCATCTCCGCAGCTCTTACTCTGGCTCGTCGTCAAGGTCTCCTCGCCAACTGCAGTTGGGGTGAACAGTTCACTACACCGCTCTACTCAGCCCCGTGGTCAACACCATCCATCTTCGCTGGAGGAATTGATAAAGTCTATAAGGTAGTCACCAAGGATTCTAGAGAAGTCCTCATGATAAAATCTATTGACACTCTGGCCAGCGTCATCAGGCAGACATCACAGAGATATTCTGGAAGATCCAAATTTCCTGGTCTACAGAGAGCACGGGACAGGAAGATGGTCGGCACCAGAGGTGGAAAGGACGCTTTTCCTCGCCCATCTGGCAACTACAGAGGAGGATCTGGAAGAGGCAGGACACCCAGAGGCTCCCAACTATCGTCGATGAAAGTCGGGTTCGGAACGACTGGAGTCTTCCACCCCCAGCCGTTCCTGTGCAACCTTCACAAGTGGGTGGACGCCTTCAACTGCACTGGGAGAACTGGGGAATACTACAAGATCCATATGTATCCAACATCCTACAACACGGATATTCGCATCCAACTACAGGCCACGCCTCCGCTTACAGTCAACCCTCACAAGTTCGACTTCCAGGCACAACAACTACCAAAGTTATGAGAAGCTGTATCATCTCTCCTAACCAAGCAGGCCATAGAACTCGTGGATCAAGTAAACATCGAACCAGGTTTCTACTCCCCAGTTTTCCTAGTGCCCAAGAAGAATTCCAAGGAAAAGTTCCGACTCATCTACAACATGAGCACGTTCAACAGGGATTATCTACGCAAACCGCCAACGTTTCGCATGATACATCTACCTCAACTACTGCACCTCGTTCGTCAGATGGACTACATGGCCAGTATCGATCTACAGGATGCCTACCTGCATATCCCGATACATCCCGACTTGAGGAAGTACCTATGGTTTACACTAGACGGGCTACACTACCAATGGAAGGTCCTACCGTTTGGAATATCATCAGCCCCCTGGTTGTTCACAAGAATAACGAAACCCATCGTCACTTACCTACATCGTCAAGGGCTACGCAGTGCGTTCTACCTCGACGACGGGATTCAAGTAGATCAAGATCCAGAGTGTCTCAAACTACAGTTGAATTTCACCATTAAACTACTAACGCAGCTTAGGATGGTTAGTGAATCTACTCAAGTTGGACCTAGAACCTACACAAGACCTGCAATTTCTAGGCATCAGATTCCTCACGACACAGAACCGTATCGTGGTACCAGAGGACTGCTGGCTCAAGATTCAACAGACGATCCCTCAAGCCTTACTCTCTCCGTTGACACTACGACAGTGGCAGAGTCTGTTGGGTCTCCTAACGTCAGTACAAGACATGACAACCAGAGGCAGACTACAGTTACGCCCGTTACAGGTCCTCATCAACGCTCATCTCGACGACCTTCAACCCTTCGGTCTACCGAATCACCTCAGACCTCATCTACTTTGGTGGACCCAGAGGTCGAATGTTTGCGAAGGCATCTATTTAACAGAGACGGAGTTCAAGACCCATCTCTATGTCGACGCAAGGTTGGGGAGCTCATCTCGACAACCAAACGACAGCAGGGTTATGGAGCCAAGAAGAGAGCAAGCTGCATATCAACATGCTCGAAATGAAAGCAGTAATCAACGCCTTACGTCATTGGAGCACCATTCTACAGAATGCACATCTCATGATACACACCGACAACTCAACAGTGGCGTTTTATATAAACAAGCAAGGCTCAACAAGATCATTGAACCTACTAACCCTAAGCTTTCAACTGTTCGACATGATCGACGATCTCAACATACATGTGAGAGCATGCCACATTCCCGGAGCCAAGAATGTACTAGCAGACGCACTCTCTCGGCCAAATCTACCATCACCAACAGAATGGAAACTCCACCCAGCAATCTTCGCTCAGATTGTCATGGAAATAGGAGCTCCATTAATAGACCTATTCGCCACTCGCTTCAACAATCAGCTAACAACATTCGTCTCACCAGTCCCAGATCCACAAGCGTGGGCAACGGACGCTCTAAGCATATCCTGGGAAGGCCTCAACGCATATGCGTTTCTGCCGCCAGCGTAAATACCAAGGGTATTACAGAAACTCAGCGATTTGAAACTATGATTGTTTGTTAAACAACTTTTATCCTAAGTTGAATAAACTTCTAAGGTTTATATGTTAATTTGGCAAGGTAAAATAATGAGGATTCGCAATCTTAATTTCACTTAATTTGATTTACTTGTTTGTTTAAAGTGAAATTCATCGGTACGTTTTCACTGCAAACAGACTTAATAGTGGTGGGAATTGGTTGTGATTTCATAATCGATCATCAGTTACGATCGGATTGGCCCAACCGATCAATCATCGATTAATAATCGGTTAAATTAAATCACAAGAATACCCTCTAAATAATAAATATATTACACAAGGTCATGTGTTTGTTATTGTCTCAGACTTCTGAAGGTAAGCAAGTACAGTTCAGAGACAGATGGTTGAACATGTAGAGGTACACAAAAGAAAAGATTTTTTTTTGTTCTTTTATGGTTTATTATTTACCATCAACAGCATCAATTACCAACCATTCAACAAAGAACAGATCTTGTCAGATGTCATAAAAACACTACATGACTAAAATGCGCCTTGAAATGAAGTGTAGTTGACAATCAGTTATGAAATTTTGCAATGGATTGTCGCGTCTGGAAAGGGTAGCCAGTCAATTTTCGATTATAATCGTTCATCGGAACACTACTACAACAAGCTTGGCTTAATCATTCAGATGCATAATTGCCCACGGAATGGGGCACCATGTATTCAGCCACGTCCGTATGTACGTACGATATTTTATGAACTGTTGTACCCAATGTCTTCAAATCTGGTGACAGCGTACATTGGGGGATTACACAGACACCCGTTGATTTTGGTCATGGTCACCTTGACCTTTTTTTCAAGGTCACCACAACACTTTGGCCACTTTTGAAACTCTTGTTAACGCGATATCTCATGAACTGTTGTACCCAATGTCTTCACATTTGGTGACACCCTACATTGGGGGGATTACCCAGACACCAGTTGATTTGGGTGACCATGACCTTATTTTCAAGGTCACCACGACACTTTGACCACTTTTCAAACTCTTGTTAACGCGATATCTCATTAACTGTTTTACCCAATATCTTCAATTTTGTCGACAGCCTACATTAGGTGATTATGCAGACACCAGTCATTTCAGGCATCTTGTATTTGATCAAAAAATTAAAAGTAGTAAATGTGTTATAAATATTCCATTCTTTAGCGGCCGGGGACATTGACATATCAGTGGTAAACACTTGTTATAATTCAGAACACACGACACCTATCACAAAGACATCAACATAGGAGCAACGCTGGAGCAAGTAACTTAACACATGTTGATGAAGTGATAAAAATTAAGCATAATAGTAACAAGCTTCCAGTATCACACAGGCAAACTCAAAAAGGACCCCCTTCAATTATGAGCACTGTTAGTGTGTAACTGGTGTGGAGATGTGCTTTCGCTTCAGTTGTGTGACATCTGTCTTCAGAAAGTTATATCAGAGGAGACGGCAGCCTATGACCGAGAGTTGCTGTTCAAGGCCAACGAGCCGCGTATCGTGAAGCTGCAGGCGATGGTGAGAGGTCACCAGCAGCGAGAGAAATACAAGGAGAGACAGAACTTCATGAATACACAGCTACCCGCCATTGTGGCAATACAGGTAAACTGCTGGCCATTGTTCCAATACAGCTTCTCTGCCGACCCTTTGTTCAATACAGGTACACTGCCCTTCATTGTGGCAATACAGGTGCACTGCCCTCCATTGTGGCAAAACAGGTGCACTGCCCTCCATACAGCTTCTCTGCCGACCCTTTGTTCAATACAGGTACACTGCCCTTCATTGTGGCAATACAGGTGCACTGCCCTCCATTGTGGCAATACAGGTGCACTGCCCTCCATTGTGGCAATACAGGTGCACTGCCCTCCATTGTGGCAATACAGGTACACTGCCCTCCATTGTGGCAATACAGTACACTGCCTTTCATTGTGGCAATACAGGTACACTGCCCTTCATTTTGGCAATATAGGTTCACTGCCCTCCATTGTGGCAATACAGGTGCACTGCCCTTCATTGTGGCAATACAGGTGCACTGCCCTCCATTGTGGCAATACAGGTGCACTGCCCTTCATTGTGGCAATACAGGTACACTGCCCTCCATTGTGGCAATACAGGTGCACTGCCCTTCATTGTGGCAATACAGGTTCACTGCCCTCCATTGTGGCAATACAGATGCACTGCCCTCCATTGTGGCAATACAGGTGCACTGCCCTTCATTGTGGCAATACAGGTGCACTGCCCTCCATTGTGGCAATACAGGTGCACTGCCCTCCATTGTGGCAATACAGGTTCACTGCCCTCCATTGTGGCAATACAGGTACACTGCCCTCCATTGTGGCAATACAGTACACTGCCTTTCATTGTGGCAATACAGGTGCACTGCCCTTCATTTTGGCAATAGAGGTTCACTGCCCTCCATTGTGGCAATACAGGTGCACTGCCCTTCATTGTGGCAATACAGGTGCACTGCCCTCCATTGTGGCAATACAGGTGCACTGCCCTTCATTGTGGCAATACAGGTACACTGCCCTCCATTGTGGCAATACAGGTGCACTGCCCTTCATTGTGGCAATACAGGTTCACTGCCCTCCATTGTGGCAATACAGATGCACTGCCCTCCATTGTGGCAATACAGGTACACTGCCCTTCATTGTGGCAATACAGGTTCACTGCCCTTCATTGTGGCAATATAGGTTCACTGCCCTCCATTGTGGCAATACAGGTGCACTACTACACCAGTTTGGTACTACACGACTGTTGCTCCTGCGAGTGTATTGGTTCCTCAAGTGTATATTTAAGCATGCGTCATCCTGCTTTCAGTCATGGTTCCGGGGAGGCAAACAAAGGCGGCAGTTCAAAGGTCGATTGGACTATCTTAACAGCAACGAAGATGCAGCCATCAAAGTAGGTGGTTGTTACGATACTCTGTAATGACATACATGTGTAGACTCGATCCCCGACTGCGTCTTACCATAGGATGTTAAAATATGGTACTTGTTGGTCCCTGCCTGGCACTCGACATTAATGGGTACAACAAGGACTGGTCGGCTCAGAGTCAGTATAATGTGTCTGAGTGGGGTATTGATGCTTCACTGCAGCATGGCATCTCAGTTGGCTAGCGCAATAAAACCAAGTACAAGCAGCCGCAAATACACATACACACGCATGCATGTCGTCATATGAGCGAAATGTTCTCAAGCACGACATTAAAGCCAATTTCACCTCACCTCACATGTGTAGACATACTGCTGATCTCTTGATGAGACTATTACCAAGGTATATGAGTGTAGACTTTTTCCTGTTCTCTTGTAGCTTCAGTCATACGTGTGGATGTGGCGAGAGAGGAAGAGGTACAGGGACAGACTCAAGTTCTTTAAATCCAATGTGAGTAGTCAGGATTTACAACTTACCACAGTTAATATTCAACATTAAAATTTTAAGAATTGTTCTCATTAGGAATGCCACGATACATCAATGCATCGATACTTTTTCTAAGGCTATACAATTATCACTCCATTCAAACCTGTATCGCTATTAAGTTTTGAAAGCATCGATTTAAATGTGTTTATGTATGATTTACATTTTGCAATTGTATCATGTTTATTTATGTTATGAAAGTTATATTTCATGCACAAAGATGGGAAATTAGAACTTTTTAATCTCTGAGAATCAAAAATGTTTATCTTTTCATGGGCAATTATAAAATATGATATATTAATGTTCAAACTGTAACTACATTTACGCAACAATGCCACGAAAATAGGTATCGTGATACCTATCGAATCGTGACATGGGCATCTGGAGACGTATCGATTCTTGAAACTTATGTATCGTGACATCCCTAGTTCTCATAATATATCATGCATGACTTGCAAAACTATTGTTTTATATAAGTTTCACATGAATTGTGCCAAACAAGACCTTCTATGATGCTATCCAATATCGTCCCCAACTGTGGCTCCTCCTGCTACAGCAGCCAATCAGCTTCCACGTCCATGCAGCAGCTGATGGTGAGTGTTGATACTGTGGTTGTGTTGCAGGAGGACAAGATCATCAAGATCCAGGCGTTCTTCCGTTCCAACCTGGCTCGTCAGGACTACAAGGCCCTCAGTGAGTAGATGTGTAGCAGTATGTCTCTACGCTGGAACTGCAGAAATATCCTGTTTACCAGTTTTGTGTTAATGTATATGGTGTAAGAATGTATTAACTCATTCAACACCGCAGCCGCTTAATCGGCCACAACGTTATGAGTCCCCAGACACCGATCGCCAAGGCATTAGTCACGTCAAGGGGCGGTGGGGTAGCCTAATGGTTAAAGCGTTGGCTCGTCACGCCGAAGACCCGGGTTCGAATCCCCACATGGGCACAATGTGTGAAGCCCATTTCTGGTGTCCCCCCGCCGTGATGTTGCTGGAATATTGCTAAAAGCGGCGTAAAACCAAACTCAGTCAGTCAGTCAGTCACGTCAAAATGAGATGTAATTTTAGGAACCTACCTGACTTATGATTCATATATTAAATCTATCACATTTCACAATGTCTGAAAACACTTATTAAATTTCAATTTATCATATATTATCATCAGAATTAAAATTATAAACTATTTTTCGCAATGTTATTGAAAACAACGATTCTCGGACACATGCTTCGGCAGCCGGTCCACAATAACATTGTCAAAGAGCAAAGTAACGATGTTTCGAGGAATTCATTAAATAAATTGAATAAACTAATGAATAAAATCAACAACAACATTCATAAAAGTTGTCAAACGTACATATAAAATTACTATTTCCATCTTTTTGTGCGATCATGTAATGTAAGTCAAGTCAGTGACAAGTGACATCTCGGCTCTCGCCGCCTCAATCTTCACGCTCGGACACGATGCCTTAGGTCACGTATCTGATTTTGACCAATCACGACCCTTATAGCAGACTAGCGAAAAAGCGTCATTAGAAACCAATTTTTATCCAATAAAATCGCTTCTTACAACTGTGAAAATACTCTCAGCAAAGGGTTCAGTGATGTTGATGTTCAGAGCTTTCGAACGATACCCGACATCAAACGATTCGCCTCCCATGTTATTCATACGAAGCTTCAAAAACGGAGGTATTTTCCGTTGTTATGTCATATTATCGAGCGGAAAGCCACAGATATCGGGAAATAGGCGACCATACATATTATTTAAGAAATCTTTTTATAATAATTTTCTGATGACGTAAAAATGAAAATATAAAAGAAAAAGGCACGGGCATGTTATGACATGTCACAAATGGAAAACAATCGCCATAGTGTTTGCTTCTTTCGTGGTTTATCTGGACATTATAAATGTAAGCTTGCATTTTCATTCAAACATAATTTTATTAAGTTGTAGTTGTATTATTTGAATAATATTATAAAAATAAACTTCATATTTATCAACAGTAGGATTAGATCTTTTAAATGGTGTATGGGATGTAGTAGCAATAACGTTTTACAAGCTTATAATTTCCTTCATAAACATAGGCTTCATCTATGACCTCAGAGTCTCTGGGAACTCGGTGTCATGGCAGTAAATGCCTCTGGTTGACTGGTGTTGAAAGAGTTAATGAATTTTATCAACATTAACATAGAAGTGATAGATATTTAGAAGATGCCATGTATGAGTGACAGAGATGGCAGTATGGCTGCCTGTTGTACACTGCCTCCCCTTCTGACGCCTGCCGGACAGGTAAACATCCATGCCTTTTGTTGCAGTGCAAGACAGCAACCCATCACTGTCTGTTGTGAGGAAGTATGTCCACCTACTTGATGCCAGTGACAATGACTATGCCGAGGAACTGGGTAGGTGTTAATATTCATGGCTTCCTGTCTTCGTATGCAAATGTGTAATACAATGAAACCTTTAATTGCTGCACTTGTATTGCTGTCTGAGTATCCAGTCCAGATTGGGAAACATGCCTGCTGCCTTTATTGAAGAGGACATGACATGATGACCACAATATTTTATCAGGAATTCTACAGTGATTTGCACAGCCCAATGCTTGCTAGATTAGCAGAAGACAGGACTCAAAGACTTGTGGCAAAAGTAAACAATTTGGACCCACGGCTTGTTGCAACTGTACATGTCAGGGCCTCAAGGCTTGTTACAACAGTAAATAACATGGGTCCCAAGGCTTGTTGCAACTGTACATGTCAGGGCCCCAAGGCTTGTTACAACAGTAAATAACATGGGACCCACGACTTGTTGCAACTGTACATGTCAGGGCCCCAAGGCTTGTTACAACAGTAAATAACATGGGACCCACGGCTTGTTACAACTGTAAATGTCAGGGCCCCAAGGCTTGTTACAACAGTAAATAACATGGGTCCCAAGGTTTGTTGCAACAGTAGATAGCATGAGCCCAAAGGTTGTTGTAACAGTAGATAACAGGTCCCATGGCTTGTTGCATCAGTAGACAACATGGACCCAAGGATTGTTGCAACAGTAGAGGGGAAACTTATGGTAACAGTGCATAACCAAGCCCAAGACTTGTTGTAATAGTAGATGGCAGGGCCCCAAGGTGTCTTGGAGTAGTAGGTACAATGGTGCCAATGCTTGTGGAAATAGTAGGGCCTTAAGGTTTGTCAGAAGAGTGTTTAGGGACTGAATATCAGTAGTTGAAACCTGGGGCCATCAACAAGGTCTCAATGGAATAGTAGACTGGTATCTACATCTATACAGAATACCAGGTACACACTGATTCTAATGACTACCCACATACAGATGTTAGCCCAGAGTCTGTTGTGAAACACCTTCACAAGAAGCAGTATTTACTGGTGCCTATTCTGAGTTGGCATGTGTCTGCCTTCATTTCTTTTCGCTCATGCCAATAGGTTCTGGTATCGTTGTTCTTTTTTGTGTCTGCCTAGTATTGCATGAACAGACTTTAAGATGTAAACTGAGACCGAAAGGCTTCTGCTGTAAGTAAAGTTAATGGTCTATCTTGTTTAATGTGCTGCTTTGGACAGAAAATGAAGGTTAGTAGTAGAGCAAGGCTGTGAAGTAGCTTTGTTTTGATATTTTTTTTGTCTATCATTTGTAAAGCATATGGAGTTGCTGTAGGTTTTGTTGTACATTGCTGGCTGGGTTTTAATGTTTGTAACTTTACATACTTTTCTTAATAGGACAGATTTTGAACAGTTGTAAAATTCCTCTTTTTTATCTCTGATATTTGGAACTTCGTTTCACTGCCATCATATCTAACTATTTGAGATTATTTTTCTTTATTTTCTGAAATTTTTCAATACTGTTCACCAAGGCTTTTGGCCCAAGTGGTGATCTGTCGTGGAAGGTTTGTCCATTTGCCATTGTCTACAAGCATCTCCCTCCACTCAGGGTTTTTACTGATCTGGATCTTTTTGATGGAGGGTTGTTTTTCTGTTTTAAAAAAAACCTCCATACTTTATTAAAGAAGCAATCAATAAAAGTTTGTGATTGATAACAATATCAAAGTCATCATTATCATTGGATTGTACTGACCATCTTGTAAACATGTCTTCCTTATGCTTGACATTTTTTTCACCAATAGAATCTTAGAACATGGACGAAAATTTCCCCACTTTCTCTGTATGTAAATTCAAAATCTGGTTTCAGCTAATTTACATTTTCTTCAAATCTGTACTTCTGTTGGAAACGATGCTCGGATGTTAACTTGACAGAACATTTTTGTTTATAGTTATTTCCGGGGTGGTGGGGTAGCCTAATGGTTAAAGCGTTGGCTCGTCACGCCGAAGACCCGGGTTCGAATCCCCACATGGGCACAATGCGTGAAGCCCATTTCTGGTGTCCCCCGCCGTGATGTTGCTGGAATATTGCTAAAAGCGGCGTAAAACCAAACTCAGTCAGTCGGTATAGTTATTTCCAATATTGGAATAAAAATTCTAGTGAGCTACAGTACCATGGTGTTAGTCATGTTAGATTTTTTTCTTTAACTGGTCCAAACTTCCCAGTTCCATATCCCTTGTCCATATAAAGTAATTTGATCTTTGTTTTCACTTTTGTTTCATTTGTCATAGAGATATGTGGCAACCTGTTGTATGTCTCTGTGTGAGGTAGATATAGATAGATCATCATCGCACTGCATGGAACAACTGACCACCCCTATACTCCCAACTGAATCATTTTAAGCCCATGGAGGTAGCATTGCATGGCCATTTCTGGAACACGTCGTCAAGCATGTCGTTTGTGCAACATCAATACTAGTTTGTATAAACTATGTTGCTACATTACCTGTGAATACATATGACCCATGAGCACCCAGATTACATAAAATAAATAATGTTTCTTACTAGTCCATTTGCGATACAACTGTGTCAATGGTCAAATTTATTTAGATTCTCCTTGTGGAGTGTAAGGTGGGTTGTTCAATCCACGGCTGTCTCTGTGATGTGGAACTCCCATTTCCTTACCCTCTACCTATGTACAAAGCTAGCAAGAAAATGGTTTATACATACAGTAAACTTCATTTATAATATACACACTCATACAAACTGTCAAATATAACAAACTAATTTTTTGTCCTAGGCACCTAATGAAGCCTATTGAACTATGGTTATGAAGGTTAAAATCTTAGAAGTTTGTTATAACTGAAGGTAAGTGTGTTTTTTTTACACTAATGAATATGAATAGACTCATTTAATAAGAATGAAGACACTATGCCTTTTAGAAAGAGGTGAAATGCAACATATGTTATATTTAGGATTACATTTTCACAGCGTCCTAACACATCCCTATGCATTAGGGCAGCATGTTTTCACTGGTGATGGAGGAATATAGTTACACAAACCCATGAAGTATGGCCATTGTCTGAAACAGTGCTACAGTGTTCTTTGTGACACTTTCCTGAATTATTTCCCTTTGACCACAGAGTTACAGAAGCTTGGTCAGCAAGTGGTATCTGAGATCAGATCCAACCAACAGCTGGAGCACGACTTGGACCAGATGGACAGCAAGATTTGTCTGCTCATCAAAAACAGGATCAAACTGCAGGCAGGTGTTGTTGCTAGTGGAAGTAGTAGGTGGGAACTTCCTTGCCAGTGGAATCTTAAAACATCACTAAATTCTATGTTCACACCAATAACAATAATGTTCGTTTTTGAGAAATGACGTGACAAAGAAACACCTTCAACAGTATTAATAAGAATTTTCTATATTTCTACAGGATGTTGTTAAACAAAACAGGAAGTTGAACATCTCTTTGAAAGGCTTGAAAGCACTGAGCAAGGAGAGCCATGAGCGCCTGGAAGCATACCAGCACTTGTTCTACCTGCTGCAGACCAACCTAACGTACCTTGCCAAGCTCATCTTCGAGATGCCACAGACTGACGCCACCAAATTCATGGAGGCTGTCATCTTATCGCTGTTTAACTACGGGTCGAATCAGAGAGAGGAATACCTTCTCCTGAAACTGTTCAAGACAGCACTGGAAGAAGAAATAGCGTGAGTAGAGTATTGATGTTATGTATTTTTAACTTGTTTTAATAAGATTTTGTGTTTTAGTATTGTGTCATCGAAATAACTGAAGCAATTCTATCAACGTGACATAAATCTTATCTCACACTTGCTATTTATAATAATTGCTTTAAAGAGTCACACTGGTGTTTTTATCAGCTTTTCATCAACATATACAAAATAGTGGACATTCTGTCTACCGTGATTGTTACTGTATTCCCTGGTTCTTCATCCTTTTGTAGAGTTAGAAGGGAGATAACTCTTCCAGCCTTGTGCACAGTGCATTTTATCACCTCTTGTCACCACCATGCACACTACCTATTAGCTTCACACGTTTATGTGACAATTTAGTAGGTGGCTTGATATGCTGAAAGTTTGCAAAAGAAAATACCATAATTGCCTTATTAAGCGTTTGCTCCCCTGACCACCTTCTAGAGAATCTGTGGGTAATCTTTATAAGAGTTCCAACAAATTCTGAAAACTTATGTGCTGTGTATAAATTGCTATGAAATTTGTGTGTGTTTTTTCATTAGTCACCAGTTACTCCTTGTTTAAAGGTGGATGTGAATAGAGACTTGATTTAGGTATGGTGGTGACAGCTTGTGCATGTGAGTAGTGACGGTCTCCTGATAACGTGTGTGAGTGACCGATGTCGTTCTTTTGTAGGTTCCTGTTAGGTGGTTCTAAGTAAGTCTCAGTCTAACTCCCCATATAGTCGGCCTCTGTACTCCGCAGTAGCACACGCTAAGCACAGTGTCACGGCACTAGCATTGCTTCGTGTCAATTAGGTTCCTTCATTTTTGTATTTTACAATCCTGTTTAATGTAAACTGATGATTAATATTTTGTATTTATTTTCATGATCTTATTGTTGTATTTTTTCCTTTTGAATGTTTAGGTAACAAATCAGTTTATCAAAGTCTTGAATTTGCTAAATTTTCTTATACAGAGCTTTAGATTGTCAAGGGGCTGAAAAAAGATGTCCAATTTCAAAGCAAGATGGGTCTCCTAGTCGTAGGTGTTTCATGTGGACTGTGTTTGATATTTCCCTCTTGGTCACGTGACCTGATTTCAGAATCCTTGAAGCTCTGATAAAGGAAATTTAGAAATAAACATTTAAGTTTTATTTTAAGTTCAAGAACTAGCAAGAATAGGTATTGCCATATTGATGTTTTAAATCTAGTTGCAGGAATGACTAATCTCTGAGCTTGTTTTTCTGCTGACGTCTACTCCGAGGGTTGAGAGCTAATAAGATGTATCATTAGATTGTACTCACACAACTTGAGACAGCTGATTCCAATTTGAGATAATCCTTCCTTGTATTCCATTTCACACATGTATGTGTGAGAAAAGCCATCCATCACATGCATCTATATTGGTGTTTTTTATTTAAAAGCTGTGTTTTAATCAATACTGTCTTTTGTGATGTTTGGGTACATAACTCTTTATTACAATGTTTATGATCATAAATACATGTATATACTCTTCAAGGAAAGAAAGGCTACATTGAATTTCAGATTGGGATAATTCTATGCAAATATTTGGTGGAATAAAAGACATGATGTGCGCACCAACCAGCCAGCTTCTATCAGCAACAACATGAAGTGATGAGCCCTTTAATGATGGTTAGGGTTGTGTGATACATAATGCATCCCTGGGCTCCTATCCTCCTTGAAGAGTGTATATAGTGCATACTAACCAACTGCCTAGATATTTGCTGGGGTTGGATGTTCAAAATATCCAGGGATGAGATTTTATGGCAAAGAGCGTATGTAAATGTATGCAGAGTTCATTTGACCGAAGACTTGGTATGCCCTCTTGACCACAGGTCTGTTCTGAGACGGTCATCAGGGAATGTGCCAGTGTATCTGTCTGCAAACAGTATAGTGTGTAACTGGTGTTGTGGATCCTGTTCACAAAGTGACTGTAATGACCGTTGTAAGCCACATACTTTAATATAATATGCTTAAGATGTTGTAGCATTACAGTTGCTTTCTGAAACAGGGACCAGTTGTCCGTGACAATAGTTTCCAACATGGCTTCAAGTAATTTCAGTGAAAACCGTTTGAACATCATAACACGTTGACTGCCTATCATGAGTATACTTGTAGTATCAATTCTGTCCGAATTTGCCACTACGAGTTATCTTGTAGCTACATCAGTGGTATTTTAAAATAAGTTTTACTTGTTGGCAAAACAGCACAAGAAGCAATCGTCTCCTGGCGGTAACAAAGAATGCCAGAAGACGTTTGTTTCTTGTGCCTATTTTTCCAACATGTGAAACTTGTTTTAAAATACCACTGATGTAGTTACGAGATAACTTGTAGTGGCAAATTCGGACAGACATTGATACTACAAGTATAGTCGTGGCAGCAGTCAATGTGTTAAGAGAGAAGTTTGGCATGTTCATGAATGAACCGTAAATATGAGATATAGTACATAACTGTTCAAAAGATTATATATTCCTACTGTTACTCAGACCTAACGACATGAATTCTCATCCCTGTTGTGTACAAGATGCTGTTTACATTTCAGCTGTCACTTTTTACAAGTTCTCCCAGTTAGCTAGTGTTAATCGTACTAATGTTATTTCTCTTCTCTCTCTGCCTCCCCAGACGAATGTAAGTATGGACGTCGGTGTATGGGTGATGTCGTGTACCCGATATTACGTCAGTGTTGTTGCCACCATCATTATCATTACATCATCATTGAGAAGGGTCTGCATTTCATACTGGATTCAGACTCTCGACAGACTCCTGATGTCTACGGACAGTGGATACACATCCCAGTGTTCCATAGTAAACATGTCCGACATTCTTACATTAACAGCTTAAATAGCACAGGTCCCTAGAACATCTGTAGTGTAAAATTTAGGATACAGGGTAGCATTGTACAACGGCACCCTGAGCTCTACGACTGTTGTAAGTCTATGTTTAGGTATGATGATCACCTCTCCGCTAAGATTGCTTTGTATAGCAGCACCTTTTCCTATACTAATACAGGTAAGGTGTATACCTGAGGAAATTAAATAAAACTGAAAAAGTGCTTTTGTTTGTATTTGAAAACCCAAAGAACTGCTCTTCTGAACCTTTGATACTGCTGTATCAGCTCTGTATTGATATAATCATTCGCTCATTTATCATTTTCTGAAGTGTGTTTTGGTTACTTAAGCGTGGAAGAGGTTGAAAAGCCAGATGTATGACTGACAGGTCTGTCCAGAGTATGAATCCACCCTCCCCTGTAGTCTGACGCAGGTGTCGTGTGTAGCTGTGTTGTACACTACATCCATGTGTCAGGGAGAGGTCAGCGTGTCTGTGTGTCACGCAGTGTGTACTACTCCGTACAGTGTACCCACTATCATCAGTACTTCCTAGTGTTTGGATGGCACTGTGTGGAGCTGTCAGTAAATGTTACAAGCAGTATATAAGATCTCCCCTCCTTCAGGAACATCCCAGTGTATGTGGTACATGCAGTTAAATCTGATAACACCTCTTTTTGGAAGTGGAAAATATCTTTGTTCATGCATTTCTTTTAAAATGAAATTTATTTGAAATCTACATTTGAAACATCTAAATTTGGCACAGTGTTTTTTCTCCTAAAAGTGATTGATACTGTAACAGATTCCTTCTCCATTAATGTCTTGTTCACAAACCAGGGTTCGAAAATATGTCTGAAAGTTCTGAATTTGTATTAAAAAAATCTTTTTGATGGATGTAGGTTAAATAAATAAATATTTAGTATTAAATGTGTCACACTGGATTGCCAGTGTATCAGGCTTATTGATGAGTAATGGCGTGTGTATTCTGCTTCTAACACTTGACGATCATTGTCTCCATGGGGTTCCCCAGGCAGGATGTGGTATATAGGGCTGGTCTATCTAGCTGTCTATCATCCAGCTTACTTCTCTACCAAACTGGCACCACCAGAAACATCAGTCATGTTTTTATTCTCTTGTTGTCTCACATGCTGTAACATGTGTGTTGGTCAGTAGGAGGGAGTAGTAGAGAATTCAAGGAAACAGAAACTTGCTTTCATCTTAATATTTTGTCACTTTGAGTTGTGTAATACATTTGCTGTTTTTCTCTCTCATTCTGCAGTTTTTGCACTGGGTTGTGTATCTGCCACGGAGATCTTCACTTTTAGATGTGCAAAGCATTTGTTTGTTTCATAGAAAAGACTATCATTTTGGAAAAAGTGGTGATTGGTACCATATATAAAAAAAAGAAATATTTTTTAAAGGGAAATAATTTTTAATATCAACACTGATTTCATCTGTTCTGTTGTATTTTGACTTCTGTCTCTTCATATTTTAGTGACATAATGTAAAGATTTTATGTGAGGTCAAACATGGTAGCCTTGTAACAGAAAGCCTGCACTGCATGTTTAGTTGTGCATTTTAGAGACGTACATAAAGGTTGAACCAACAGTATGATATTTTATAAAGTTGATCATGAAACACGACTCGAAAGTAATAACTAGAGTAGAAATACAAGCATGCTGGCCTACATATAGACTAAATTGAACAGGATATTAAAGTAACAGCAGATATTGAAGTTACATTCACTGTGTCGTGCTGAGCATGGTCATGCACGTATGTGGTATATCTCCTCCGTGACATGATGCCCTGTACCTATAGATCCCATGTCTGCATCATGACTCACACTGCATCCATGACAAACCCACCTGACTGCATGACACTAGACCCAGCAGACAGGGAGGCTCCTTGCAGCCTGACCGTCTACAGAAATAGGATGAATTATTGGTTCACTTTATTGGCCATTGCACGGTGTATTTCTCAATAAAGGCAAATAACGAGTGCATGGGACTAGTGATGTGAAGTATGCATGCCACATAGTGTTTTAGTACCAACAGAGAGCAATAGTAAGACCAAGAGGTAGCATTTAGTAAACATTTTTCATTATGAGTGTTTAAAGTAGAAATTATCTTACAGCTGTGTTTCGTTAATTCCTTGGGAAGTCATTTCCTTGTCCTCACGTTCATCAGTCATTTGTGTGTCTCCATCTCACAGATCTTTGACACTAATCATCAATGTGCTGTGTGAATTAACACCTTGTTATCATCTCGGTGTATACAAATACCACCTTGTTATCATCTCGGTGTATACAAATACCACCTTGTTATCATGTTGGTGTATACAAATACCACCTTGTTATCATCTCGGTGTATACAAATACCACCTTGTTATCATCTGGGTGTATACAAATACCACCTTGTTATCATCTCGGTGTATACAAATACCACCTTGTTATCTCGGTGTATACAAATACCACCTTGTTATCATGTTGGTGTATACAAATACCACCTTGTTATCATCTCGGTGTATACAAATACCACCTTGTTATCATCTCGGTGTATACAAATACCACCTTGTTATCATCTCGGTGTATACAAATACCACCTTGTTATCATCTCGGTGTATACAAATACCACCTTGTTATCATCTCGGTGTATACAAATACCACCTTGTTATCATCTCGGTGTATACAAATACCACCTTGTTATCATCTTGGTGTATACAAATACCACCTTGTTATCATCTGGGTGTATACAAATACCACCTTGTTATCATCTCGGTGTATACAAATACCACCTTGTTATCTCGGTGTATACAAATACCACCTTGTTATCATCTCGGTGTATACAAATACCACCTTGTTATCATCTCGGTGTATACAAATACCACCTTGTTATCATCTCGGTGTATACAAATACCACCTTGTTATCATCTCGGTGTATACAAATACCACCTTGTTATCATCTCGGTGTATACAAATACCACCTTGTTATCATCTCGGTGTATACATATACCAACTGAATGACTGCAGAAAGTTTTTAATACACATACAGTTAAGATAATTATACAAAAGAGATTAGCAATCTACCTACAGGTTTCATGAAAGAAAGAATAATTTAATGAAATACGCTAAAGAAAGTAATGTTCCAACACACTGCTTGACTCTGTAGATCTGTCTTAATACTGTTGAGCTCATTCCTCTTCAGACTGTCTCCTCTGACAGCTATCTCTCTGACTTGCCATGTTGATAGGTTGATTAGATGATAGAGATCAGGGGATAGGACACCATTACTCTCAGCAATATCATGTCATCTGTAGAAATTGTAAATAACGCTGGACTGAATGCTTTGTTGCAGCTCTAAGGTCCACAAGATGACGGACATTGTGACCGGCCAGCGACTGGTTGTCAAGATGATTGTAGGCTTTAACAGGTATGTGGAGTTTGTTGAAGAAGTGAATAGGTCAGCTTAAACTGATATGCTTTGTTTCTCAGTTTGGTATGGATTTCTATTATTAATTGTAAGATCCCTATGTATGTTTGTTCATAAACAAAAACAAATGTTATTGTACTGTAGCTGATGCTGACTTGGAGTGAGTGAGTTTTAGTTTTACGCCGCTTTTAGCAATATTCCAGCAATATCACGGCGTGGGGACACCAGAAATGGGCTTCACACATTTTACCCATGTGGGGAATCGAACCCGGGTCTTCGGCGTGACGAGCGAACGCGTTAACCACTAGGCTACCCCACCACCCCTGCTGACATGGAACAAACAGTAGTAGTTTGTATCAAGGGAGTATCGGTGTGCTGGTTGTTGCATGTGTTGGTTCCTCCAAGCTTCATCAGTTCAGGATGCTAGTGACATATTCATGGACTGCTTTGCCAGGAACCAGCGAGGTCAGAACGCTCTGCGGGAGATGCTTAACCCCCTCATCACAGGGGTTGTGGAAGACAGGAACCTCCGCATCAACACCGAGCCCATTGGGTTGTACAAGGCCTGGGTGAACCAGACAGAGTCCGAGACTGGCAAGGCCACGTGAGTTCAGTGGGAAGCCTGCTTCTGTTGATTCAGTTGTCCAGTCTTTCCACATAATATGTGTATCACAGATGTTTGAGTACACTTAACGAGTTGTACAGAAAACTACAGATAAACATTTTTTTTATTTGTGGATGGTGTTGGAAGATGCATAGAAGTATTTAACCTTTGAGTTTTATTTCCTGCCTTTAAATGCGCCAAGATACGAACAATTCAGAAGCACAATTAATGTCATAATTAACAGCATTGAGTAACAAGAGCATTAGGTGACTGTGTATTATTACCCATACGGGTGGGGAGATCCCGTGTAATATCTTTTTGATATTTGCACAGTGTGCAATTTAGTGATTCTCGACGTTGATTGGTTGATCGTATATTTGTACATTTTCATTGGATGCCAGAACTACTTTCACACACTACGTTCATTCATAAAGTTTCATCGATTCATTGATAAATTGACATTATGTAATGTAATCACACATTCCGAGATCTAAAAAAGAAAACATTAAGGTTAAAGAATATGAATATTCTTTTTATTAGACGTTATTATTTTGGAATAAAACTTAGTTATAAATAGTAGTCTTTTAAATTATATAATCTTTAAAAAACCCACCAAAACAATCGTTTGCATTGTTTGTAAACAAACATGGCCGCCGTTAGGCTAACCCGATCAAGGTCACTTACCTAGTTAAAGTTGACGGTGACCAAATAGGAAGAGTGATAAGAATTTTACAGCCCTTGAATTCCCAAAACCTGTTTGTTGTTGAAACTGAATTCGGGGAAATAGAAACAGCAAGATACCGACTAAAGATGTTATCTGAAAGTGTAACAAGTAAGTCGGACACGGCGTCCATGCCATCGAACCAGAAAACAGCTCCTTTCTTACCGGAATCAGTGCTAAATGTTCTTCTTCAAGATAATTTTTTATATCCATGCATTCCTAATCAATGCGAGAGGTTGGTCCCAGTAGCCGAGATTGACACATTTCATAGACTCGGATTCCGACTAGAGTTATCCTTGTTGGAACTGCTGTACTCTACTGAGACGAGAGTGTAACACGCCTTCCACAGAACAAAATGTTGTTTAATCTTCAAACTTGTTGAGTTTCTTGACAGAAAACTTTTTCTAGATGTATTCGTGGGATGGTTGTCTTTTAGATTTCCCAACTTTTAACCGTTGACTTTCCCCAAAAATGACAGGTTTTTGCCAGAGTGTGTTTCAACACTACACCGTCACAATTCACTAGAAAACACGTCAGTCGTGAATGAACGATGTTCCTTCGCACTGACTTGATCGAATAAATGTTTAGCTCTTATTAAGTTCAATGATATATTTAAAAGATCATTTTTATCATATTAACAAATGTTAATTAATTATTCCAGGCATAATAATTTTGTTGTATTTTAAAGCGATTTTATGATGTACTATTTCCATAGCGTAGTTATGTTATTACCGCTGGAGAAGTTAGGGTTTAATCACGCATGAATACGAATCAGCTGTTTAAGGTCACAAGTCCTGTCTCCGGGTGGTTTTATTTCGTGGTTCTTCCTTTTAAATTACATTATGGGTAATAATATAGAATAACCAGCAGTGCAGTGATTACGGAAATATGCCCTCGTTAAAATAATGTTCAGTGCCTACCGCCAAGGCTCGGCACGGTGAACATTATTTCAACTCGGGCATATTTCCCGTAATCACTCGTACCTCGTTGGTTATTCTCTAAATATATATCAGGGGCCTCCCATATGAGGTGACCCCTGAAGAAGCTCTGAAACACCCAGAGGTGCAGCAACAGATTCAGGAGTCCATCAAACGGCTGCAGGACGTCTCCGACCGCTTCCTCAACAAGATCCTCACCTCACTCGACAAGATTCCGTAAGTATATACAGAATATTTTGATAATATATTTACATAAATGATTGTTATCACTTCCGTCATTCCCTTGTCGTACTTACTGCATGATTTATCGATCATTCAATTCACAATAGCGTCTGAGAGATTCCTATCATTAATACTTTTATTATTCAATACCCATGTAAACTTAGGATAGTGATACAGGGGTGTAATACGGATGGTGTGGTCAAATTCCGTATTGAACCCCAGATCCCGTATTGGACACCTGCCGGTTCTACTTTCTCCAAAGCTTGATTTATTTTATTATGTAACAGATTAATGCAAGATAAGAGGGTATAAAAATCGTTTCTCTGCTCCCATGACATCTTCTCGTTCAATACAAAACATCCAAATGCACTAGTATGACATTGTATATATTTATACAGTACAGATTGTGTTTATGTTTGCAGTGTATAGTCCCGTGCTGTATATCCTGTTATAACATGGTTATTGAAACAAGCTTGTTGCTACAGATACGGGATGCGCTACATGGCCAGGGTGATGAGGGATGCTCTCACAAAGAAGTTCCCCGACGCCCTGGAGAAGGATGTCCTGCAGGTACAGTTAGTCATATCATCTGCCACTGATAAACCCTCAACCTGAAGTGGGACTTGAGTGTCTAAGGCTCTACAGTACATAGCTCCAATAATTATGCTGGGATATCTTAGTAAAATCTCATGTTTTTGGATCTGGTAGCAGGACGACTGTTCTCACATACAAGTAAAGCAAGTATCTGTGAACCACGTACTCCTGGGACTATTGAGATGCCCCACTGTGATGTATAACTGAAATACTGTGTGAATTGGCATCACTCATTACCATTCCCCTACCATAGATTTCAGGTTTGTTCATTCTCCTCATTACCATTCCCCTACCACAGATTTCAGGTTTGTTCATTCTCCTCATTACCTTTCCCCTACCACAGATTTCAGGTTTGTTCATTCTCCTCATTACCTTTCCCCTACCACAGATTTCAGGTTTGTTCATTCTCCTCATTACCATTCCCCTACCACAGATTTCAGGTTTGTTCATTCTCCTCATTACCATTCCCCTACCATAGATTTCAGGTTTGTTCATTCTCCTCATTACCATTCCCCTACCACAGATTTCAGGTTTGTTCATTCTCCTCATTACCATTCCCCTACCACAGATTTCAGGTTTGTTCATTCTCCTCATTACCTTTCCCCTACCACAGATTTCAGGTTTGTTCATTCTGTCTGGTATATGAGCATGACATAGTGCATGAGTTCAGTCAGTACTTATTTTCATACTATGTCTTTTCTTCCTTAAGTGGCATATAAAAGCTGTCTATACAAATCCCTTGAAGTTCCCTTCAAAGAGGAGGACGTAAAATCATCACTCACCCACGAGTAGCCTCCCTTGCCTTTCCATTTTGGCGCCCTTATAGGTCACATGACCGGCCATGCTTGTCACTCTCTCCTTCATCGCCCTGGAGGATGGTTGTGAGGGCACCTGGGTCCCTATATGGCACTTATTGTTTGATATTTTTACCTTTTTACATCTTAATTTCAGCTGTATACAGTTTTTGGTCTCTATATTATGAAAATGGTTTGAAATTATATCCAAATATTACGTACTAGTATTTTGTACGTTGTTTGCCAAGTGTTTCATCTTATGTTTTTTGTTTACATTTGATGACAACGTGTCTGTCCGTGGCTGACCCGCATTGATCATGTCCACCTTGCACTACTACTTGTTCTTCCAGCTCTCGCTGTAATCTTTGTCAGAATTTATCTATTTCTGAATTTAACAATTACATTTTTTATTTTTATCCCGGATATAGTATATTAGGCTCCATCCGTACATATGAATTGGAATATCTTAAGAACCGTTGACTGGATTCTTTTCATATTAGGTACCTAGGTTCATCACAGTAAAAGGAAGGTGCCAGTCAGGTTTGGTTACCTTGACCTTCATTTCAAGGTCACAAGGGGACTTTAACGTTTTACCTGCACGTTAAGCTATCTCAAGAACTATTCACTGGATTTTCTTCATATTCAGTACCAAGCTTTATCTAGGGAAGGCGCAGGGCCCAGTCGATTTTGGTGACCTTCACATAATTTTCAAGGTCATGGCGACACTGAAGATTTCAGCATGTTAACCCGCATGTTAAGCTATCTCAAGAACTGTTTCCTGGATTTTCTTCATATTTAACTCCAAGCTTTATCTAGGGAAGGCGCAGGGCCCAGTCGATTTTGGTTACCTTCACATAATTTTCAAGGTCATGGCGACACTTTGAAAATTTCAGCATGTAACCTACATGTTAAGCTACCTCAAGAACCATTCACTGGATTTTCTTCATTAACCCATTCAACACTGTAGGCCCGGAAAACCGGCCAAGACGTCACCAGTCCCCAGACACCGTAAGCCGGAAAACTGGCCAGGCAGTAGTCGCATCAAAATGATATATAATTTTAGGAACCTAACTAACATATGATTCATTTATCAAATCTGTCACTTTTCATAATGCCTGAAAACACTTATTACATTTCAAATGGCCATATATAATGGACAGAATTAGAATTATAAACTAGTTTTCGCAATGTTATTGAAAAGAAACAATTCTCGGACACATGCTTCCGGCAACGGGCAACGGGTCCACATCAGAGTTGTCAAAGAGCAAAGTAACGATGTTTCGAGATAATAATTACATGAATTGAATAAACGGAAGAATAAAAATCAACAACAGTACTGATAAAAGTTGTCAAATGTACGTTACAACTTACTACTTCCATCTTTATTGTGCGACCGTGTAATGTAATTCAAGTGACATCTCGGCTTTCGTCCGTCGCTCCGAACTTGACGCTTGGACACGATGTTTAATGCTAAAATATATGCATTAAACTTTCTTGTCACATGTCATAACCTAGCACAATACGTCCACTAAGTTCAATTATATACGCATAGGTGGTGATTTTTTGCGTAACACGTTCAGAATAGCATGATTTTACTCAAAATTTTCGTCTGAACCTGCAGGTTTTCGTTTACGACGACAGTATCCATTGCTGTTATCTGATTGGCTGCCTTAGGTCACGTGTCTGATTTTGACCAATCACAACCCATAGCAGACTGTGGCGAAAAAGCGTCTTTAGAAACCAATCTTTATCCAATAAAATCGCTTCTTACAACTGTGAAAATACTCTCGACAAGGGTACAGTGATATTGTTGATGTTCAGAGCTTTCGAACGATACCCGACATTAAACGATTCGCCTCACATGTTTTTCGTACGAAGCTTCGAAAACGGAGGTATTTTCCGTTGTTGTGTCATGTTACCGAGCGGAAAGCAACTGATATCGGGAAATAGGCGACCATACATATTATTTAAGAAATCTTTTTATAATAATTTTCTGATTATGTAATGATGAAAATATAAAAGAAAAAGGTACGGGCATGTTATGACATGTCACAAATGGAAAAAAATCGCCTCATTTTTGCTTCCTTCGCGGTTTATCTGGACATATAAATGTGTAAGCTTGCATTTTCATTAAAAATTAACTTATTTAAGTTGTAGTCGTATTACTTGAATAATATGATAAAAAATAACTTTCATATTTATAAACAGTAGGATTAGACCTTTCAAATGGTGTGTGATATGTAGTAGTAATAATGATTTACGAGCTGATATTTTCATTGATAAACATATGACCTCAGAGTCTCTGGGAACTTGGTGTCATGGCAGTAAATGCCTCTGGTTGACTGGTGTTGAAAGAGTTAACACCAAGCCTTATCTAGGGAAGGCGCAGGGCCCATTCAATTTTGGTGACCTTCACTTAATTTTCAAGGTCACAGAGATACTTTGAAGATTTCAGCATATTAACCTACATGTTATGCTTGTCAGCGTGATACCTCAAGAGCCATTCACTGGAGTTTCTTCTTTTTTGACACCAAGCTTCATCCAGGGAAGGCGCAGGGCCCAGTCACTTAATGGTGACCTTCACTTAATTTTCAAGGTCACAGAGACACTTTGAAGATTTCAGCATGTTAAATCGCATGTTAAGATAGTCATCAAGATATCGCAAAAAATACTCAGTGGATTTCCTTCATATTTGTCACCAAGCTTCATCTTGGGAAGGCCCAGGGCCCAGTCATTCTTTTTCATAGAGATCGTCCTTGGGGTACTTATATGCATTTTCTGCGGCTGAAAATGTCCTGTGACAGTTGTATCAATGTTTTAATAAAAATATTGTACAATAAATAAAATCTTTTTTATCTATTATACGGCCCCCACCCCGTGGAGTTACCTCCCTGCTACGCATGCGCAGCCAACCAGGTAAGCAGGTAGCATTCCCGTGGTTTACGCATGTGTTGCTTTTCCATGGCGGGAAGTTTAGCGTGCCACGTGGTTGTCATATTGCGTTCTTTACCAAGTATTTCTTCCCGTGGTCGCATTCACGTAATTTTCAATGTTTTGTACGTGTATATTTATGCTGCTGGCTCCGCTGTTAGCTACATGCTTGCGTGTTTGCTTTCAGGTGTTTTCTTGATGTTCTGTCTGTGAACAGAGCATTCCCAGAGCTGACCAGCACGACAAGTGCTTATGTTGTCTTGAAAAAGTCTGCCATAATCCCGACGTTTGCGAGCTGTGCATGGGCTTCTCTCCCCCCCTCCCTTTCCTTTGCTTCCCCCGTCTCGATCCCTTAGCCTGGAGGCATCGTAGATCCGTTGCCTCTAGCTTCGGGTCCGGACGCCTCGGCTATCCTGGAGGGGGAGGGTTCACTCCCAGTCCCCCTCTCGGTGTTGGCGCAGGGTCCGTTGAGGATTCCTGGGGTTCCGGTCCCTGCGCCGCCCCGCCCCATGAGACCGGAGGAACCAGTTCTGCCTGGTCTTCCTCTCGTGTCTCGGGACCGGGGTTCGAGTGTGGTGTCGGGTGCCGGAGCGGGGAGTTCCTTCATTTTTTCCCTTCCCTCAGTGTCTTGTGCTAGACCTCCTACCGGGTTGAGGTTCGGGTCCTCTTTGCGCGGAAACCCAGCCTCTGACTCGGGCTCAGGTGCCGAGTCCATGGACATTGGGGAGGTCGAGGAGCCGGAGGGCACTTTCCGTTTCTCGACGGCTCTGCGGGAGGTACGGCAACATATTGCCGAGTTAATTCCCTAGTCCGCGGTACATACCAGTCACTCGGACTCATCTGAGGCAACCCTCGCAGACACTGCTCCGCATCTTGCCGTCCCTGGTGCAGGACGTGATGGATCCTCTCCTGGTATGGAGACGCCTCCGGTTCGACTTATCCGAACTTGTCAAGAGGTACCAGCTGGGGGACGATTCACTGTTCTTTGTACCGGTGGTCGACGAGTGTGTGTTTACTTCGGTCGCCCTGGGGGGAGGCTCTGCTTCCTCTGGTGCAGCCCCGGTTGCCAAGCAAGGGCGTTTAGTGCCACCGTTTGCCCTTGCGGACGCCCCCCTGCGGCAGGCTTACCGGACCTACGAGGAGGTCTATTGGAATGCCATGCAGCAGGTCTGGGTGGTGACCCACGAGGCGGAGGGGAACGCTGGGGACGTGTCCCCGCATGTCGTTCTCTTACGCCAGTTATCCGAAGTT